ATTTTTTTTTTTTTTTTTTTTTTTTTGTGTTAAATTATATTAGTGTGTGAGTATGCATTTAACTATATATAACTTATTAGTGTAATAATAAACCACAAAAAAAAAAAAAATTTTTAATAATTTTTTTGTGATTTAAGAATAAAAGTATAAAAATCAAAATTATAGGACTTCAAAAAAAAAAAAAAAAATAAATTAATTAATTATATAAAAGAATTAAAAAATATATTAAGTGTATTTTAAAAATATTTATCTTAAAATAGATGAAAAAAAAAAAAAAAAAAAAAAAATTAAATATTTTTAAATAAAATACATTTTGCGAGAATTATACATTTTTTTTTTTGGAAACTCATAAAATCTTAAAACTATAATTTTATGAAAATGACTTTTTTACTTGTATGGAAGTGAAACAAAACTTTTCTTACATATTTTATGAAATTTCTTTAAAAATTATTTGATATATAATTTATATAAATTTTTGAAACCTTGAAAAAAAAAAATATAACAATGGCAAAACAAAGATTGACGGCATTAGATATACGAGCAATAATAACTTTATGTAAAAAAAATATTATTGGATGTATTGTTACAAATATTTATAATATTTCTAATAAAATTTATGTTTTAAAATGTTCAAAAAAAGAACAAAAATATTTTTTGTTAGTAGAAGCAGAAAAAAGATTACATATTACTGAATGGAAAAGAGAGAAAGATGTGATGCCATCTTCTTTTACTATGAAGTTAAGGAAACATTTGAGATCTCGTAAAATTACTAACATAACCCAATTAGGGGGAGATAGAGTTATTGACATTAAATTTGGATTTGATGATAAAGCGTATCATTTAATTGTAGAATTATATATTTCTGGAAATATTGTACTAACAGATCATGATTATAAAATAATAAATATTTTAAAGAATATTGATACCTTTGGTAAAAGTTATAGTATTAATGAAATATATAATATAGAAGAGCATTCTTCCATATTACTTTATAAAAATTTGATATCAACAAATAAAGAAAATATAAAGAAATGTATCAGTGAAATATTATTATATAATAACATATCAAAAATAGAGGATGACAATTCACATTCAGCAGATATAATAAAAGAAAAAGATGATAGTACATCTATAAAGTCTCAAAATAATAATTTGAAAAATATGAATATTAAACTTAAAAGCAATTTTCAAAATGATAAAATCCCTAATGTTAATGATAATTCTATTAATGGAAACTGCATAAATAATAAAAATGAAAAATATATAAATATTAATGATGAAACTAATAAAAAGAAAAAAGATATAAAAAAAAATAATTCACAAGAAGTTATATGCAGTAAAAATAATTCCTTAGATAAGTTTAAATACAAGTCTAATGAAAAATCTAAAATGAAAAAGAACAATATATCAAAAAATTTTAAAACTTCTAAATATCCAGAAAAAAAATCTTTAAATGATGTTAAAAATAATTCTAATATAAAAAATGATATTGTTAATAATAGTAACGATAAAAGTAAAAAGATAAAAAAAATAAAAACGTTGGCAGATTTAGCAAGTAAATTAGTTGTATTTGCTCACAATGATTTAATAATTCATGCATTAATGGTTAATGATATTAATCCATTTGATTTATTAGATAATTATCAATTAATAGATATAACAGAAATAATGTATAAAGTTATTAATGAATGTTTAAATTTGTTAAATATTTTAAGTAATGAAGAAAATATAATTAAGGGATATGGATTTATTTTAAAAAATGAAAAAAAAAAGAATAATGAGCAGGGAGGAAATTCAACAGAAAATCATAAAGAGAATATTTCAAACAGTATCAATGAAAAGAAAATTTCAACTATAAGTAATGATAATAGGGACTCAGATAAAATGAAAGGAATAAACATTTCCGAAAGCAATGATGAAAAAATAAAAAAAAAAAGTGAATTTTTAGAAGAAAAGAAAGAATTTGAAATTTGTGAATTTTCACCAATTATTCTTAGTAATCATAAAAGTAAGATAAATGAAAACAAAATGGATATTATAGAATTTGATGATTTTAATACATGTGTTGATACTTATTTTAGTAGAATGGAGTTATCTAAGTATGATAAGCAACAAGAAATAAATAAAAATAAAAATATGATTTCTAAAATGGATAAAATTAAATTAGATCATGAAAGAAGAATTAACCAATTAGAAAAAGAAGTAAGTATATTAAAAAAAAAAATTACATTAATTCAAATGAATGATAGATTTGTTGAAGAATCTATATTATTAATGAGAGCTGCAATTTCTACAAGTGCAAATTGGGAAAAAATATGGGATCACATAAAAATATATAAAAAACAATGTCATCCTATAGCATCACGTATTAATTCAGTAAATTTTAATAATTGTGAAATGGAATTATTGCTAACTGATTTTGAAAGTGATAGCAATAGAGATAATGAAGATAATTGTGATTTAAATAATCAAAAGATGGATAATTTAAAAAAGTTAGATATGAATAAAAAAATGGTTTCAGTTACAATTAACTTAAATAATTCAGTTTATGGAAATATTGAAGATTATCAAAAATCTAGAAAAAAAACAGAAGAAAAAATTAGGAAAACAAGAACAGCAACTGATTTTGCTGTTAAAAAGGTTGAAAAAAAAAAAAAAGACAAAGAAAATAAACAAAAAGTAAAACAAAAAACAGTATGTCAAATACAGAAATTAAGAAAAGTATATTGGTTTGAAAAATTTCACTGGTTTACATCTTCAGAAAATTATTTAGTAATAGCTGGAAGAGATGCTTTACAAAATGAAATTTTATTTAGAAGATATTTTCAGAAAAATGATATTTATGTTCATGCAGATATTCACGGTGCAGCATCATGTATAATTAAAAATCCATATAAGGATAAACCTATACCAGAAAAAACCCTAGCAGAAGCAGGTCAACTAGCAATATGTAGAAGTTCTGCATGGAATAATAAAATTATAACATCTGCTTGGTGGGTTTATTATCATCAAGTTAGTAAATCTGCACCAACAGGGGAATATATAAAAACAGGATCTTTTGTAATAAGAGGTAAAAAAAATTATTTACCACATGCAAAATTAGAAATGGGGTTGTGTATTCTTTTTCACATTGACAAAATATTAGATGAAAATATTGAAGAAAACAACTTAGACATTACAGAAAAAGTAATAGAAAAAGATGAAATAAATACAAATAAAAGTAGTTCATATAAAGATCAATCTAAAGGTGTTGTATTGAATGAAAAAATATCTAGTAATTATATTCCTTCCGCAAATTGCTTAAATTTAATTGACAAAAAGAATGTTTTTGAAAATAGTGCAAAAGAAATGTCACATGAATACGTTAATTTTTTGAAAAAAAATGGAAAGAAATACAGTTTTTCGGATAAAAAAAAAGACTTTGTTAATTCTGAAAAAAATGATACTGAAAGTAGTAATAATTTTAATAAATGTTCATTTGACAATAGTAATAAAAATTACTACAATAATAATGAGTATATGCCTCTACATTTTATGAACAAATGTAATATTAATTTTATAAATAGAGATTTTAGTGATAATAATAATGATTACAATAATATTAAAAATCATAACATCCATTATAATAGTACTACTACTACTACTACTACTACTACTACTACTAATAATAATAATAATAATAGTAATACTCTAAAAATGCAAAAGGATAATACTAATTATGCACCCAATAAGAATATTAAAAACTTTCCCAATTCATATAATTTTAATTATCGTTTTCCTAGTTTAAGTAATAATATTTATTCAAATAATAACAATTTAAAAAATAAAAATTTAGTAATAAGTTTAAAAAAAAAAAATAATAGTTTAAGTAAAAATAATTTTTATACAAGTTGTAGTAGTTACAAACTTTTTATGGATAACAAGAAAAAAAATCAAAATTTTAAAAAAAATAATAAATATGGATATAGTTATGAATCAGAAATACTTTTAAATATCTCAAGGATTTGTGAAAATCCTAAATTTATACATAAGTGCATTGAATCAAGTTTATTTGATGAATATTATTCAAATAATAAAAAAAATAAATATACTTATAGAAAATTTTTTAATTTTATTTTAGGAAGAAGTTATATAATGAATATATTAAATTCTAATTTTATACATATATATGATAAAATATTTTTAATATTACAAAAATTAGGAATTTTTTATTATTATGAATATAATACTATTAAAATATTATGTAAATTTTTTAATTTAAATTTATTTTCTAATAAAAAAAATATTCAAGTATTTCATAAGTTTCTTTTATATCATAAAAATTACCACCAAAATATATGTAATAATTGCAAGGGTTTTAAAAAATATTATAAAAGACTTATTTACGTAATATGTAAATTTTACTTTTGTTTTTTTTTATTAACATATAAAAAAGAGAAAAATCTTACACCCATAAAGAGTGTGAAATTAATTAAAGATATAAGAAAATTTTGTATTATTTTTAAGGATTTTAAAAATGCATTAACATTCTTTTTTGTCCACATAATAGCTTCAAATATAAATAAATGCTTTAGTGTTAAAATTTCTTCGAAAAATACACCAGATATACTGAATATTTTTAAAAACCATAATGTTTTTAAAAATATTCAGAATAACGCAAAATCAAATAATGTTATTCAAATAAATAACACATTATTACGTTATTATATGAAGAAAACATTAATTGAAAATCTTGGGAGAAAAACTGATATTAATTTTGATTATGTATATGAAAATAATAGAAAACATAGCTTCATGCAATGCGAAGTATATGGAACTCCTGTTACTTTTAATGATGATGATTTACATGAATGTTCTTCTAGTAAGAAGGAAAAAGAAAATAATAATGAAAAATTATACTCATCTAATAGATTTAATAAAAAAAATACTGAAGAAAAAGAAAATAATGATTCATTCATATATGAACAAGATAGTACTTATAACGTTGAAGAAGAAAATCCATTAAATTTACCAAGATCCTCCAGATCAAGTAAGTCTACGGGATATGAAGAATTGGATGCTAATAGACTTTTTAAAGATGTAGTAGATGAAGAAGTGGACTATAAAAATAATGAGAAGAGACGTGTTAAAATAAATATGAATAATAAAATAATTGGTGAAGAAGAAGAAAAAAAAAATGTCTCATTTAATTCAGATAAACTTGATACATATGATTTTGAGAAAAGAGAATCTCTAAATTTATCAAGGCCTGTTAGATCACGTAAACCAACAGGTTTTGTAAAAATGGACGTTAGTAAATTACTTGAAGAAATAGGAGATGAAGAAAAGAATGATGAAAATCAAAAAGTGAAAATAAAAGTAGACTTTGATAACAACGAAAGTATTGAAAAGAATAAAAAAAAAATTTCATTAACTACAGAAGAAGAAGACATTTATATTGAAAAACAAGAATCTCTAAATTTACCAAGACCTGTTAGATCACGTAAACCAACAGGTTTTGTAAAAATGGACGTTAGTAAATTACTTAAAAATATAGAAGATGAAGAAAATTATGAAAAAGAACATATTAAACAAACTTTTAATAATAATTCAATTGATAAAGAAAAGAAAAAAGATGTATCATTCACTTCTGAAAAAGATAATATTTATGTTGAAAAACAAGAATCTCTAAATTTACCAAGACCTGTTAGATCACGTAAACCAACAGGATATGTAAAAATGGACGTTAGTAAATTACTTAAAAACATAGAAGATGAAGAAAAGTATGATGAAAATCAAAAAGTGAAAATAAATTTCACCAATAATACGGAGGAAAAAGGAAAAAAAAAAAGTGTATCATTTATCTCAGACGATGAAAACAGTTGTGTTGAAAAACAAGAATCTTTAAATCTTCCAAGACCTGTCAGATCACGTAAACCAACAGGATATGTAAAAATGGATGTTAGTAAACTACTTAAAAATATAGAAGATGAAGAAAAGTATGAAAATGAAGGAGATTTAAATAAACAAGAATCATTTAATAGCAGTGAAAATAATGATAAAAAAAAAGTAAGTGTAACATTTATCTCAGAAGATGAAAGCAGTTGTGTTGAAAAACAAGAATCTTTAAATATTCCAAGACCTGCTAGATCACGTAAACCAACAGGTTTTGTAAAAATGGATGTTAGTAAACTACTTAAAAATATAGAAGATGAAGAAAAAAATGAAAAAGAGCAAATAAAAGTAACGTTTAACGAAAATATTAGTAATGAAAAAAAAAAAAAAAGTGTTTCCTTTACCTCTGAAGAAGAAAATATTCCGTATGTTGAAAGTCAGGAGTCTATAAATATACCAAGACCAACTAGATCTCGTAAACCCACAGGTTTAGTAAAAATAGATGTTAATAAACTTCTTGAAGATATAGAAGATGAGGAAGAAATATGTATCCAAAAAAATTTTAATATGGATACTTGTAAAAATGAAATAAATACAAACATTAAAGAAAAAATACAAGAAAAAGGAAGAGGAAAAATAGAAAAGAAAGATTATCAAAATGTAGATAACGAGGATGATGAAAAAAAATATGAAAATAAAGATGGGGATAATGAAGATGAAGAAGAAGAAGAAAAAAATGATGATGATGAATATAAAGAAGAAGAAGAAGAAGAAAAAGAAGAAGAAGAGGAAGAGGAAGAGGAAGAGGAAGAGAAAGAGAAAGAGGAAGAGGAAGAAGAAGAAGAAGAAGAAGATGATGATGAAGATGAAAATGAAAATGAAGAAGATAATGATGAAAATGAAAATGAAAATGAAGAAGATAATGATGAAGATGAAAATGAAGAAGATAATGATGAAGATGAAGATAAAGAAGAAGAAGAGGAAGATGAAAATGAAAATGAAGAAGATGAAGAAGATGATGAAAATGAAAATGAAGAAGATGATGAAGATGAAGATGAAGAAGATGATGAAGATGATGAAGATGAAAATGAAGAAGATAATGATGAAGATGAAAATGTAGAAGATAATGATGAAGATGAAGATAAAGAAGAAGAGGAAGAGGAAGAAGAAGAAGAAGTAGATGATGAAGATGAAAATGAAGAAGAAGAGGAAGAAGAAGAAGAAGATGATGAAGATGAAGATGAAGATAAAGAAGAAGAGGAAGAAGAAGAAGATGATGAAGATGAAAATGAAGAAGAAGAAGATGATGAAGATAAAAATGAAGAAGAAGATGATGGTGAAGATGAAGATGAAGGTGGATGTGGTGGTGAAAATAAAGCTGAATATAGTGAATATAAATCAAATGAAAATAGGAAAAAGAAAAATAAAGGTAAAAAAGATAAAAATGAACAGGATAAAGATAAAACAAACACAGAAGAGAAACATCAAAAGAATACAACGGAATACATCGAAAATAAAAAAAAGAAAAATACAAAATTAAAACAAAAAAGTTCTTCTAATAATGAGTTAAATGAAGATTTAAATAAAAATATGGTAATCTTATAAAATTACAATTAAATAAGATATATTAAAAATTCTATATTTTATGAGAATATGTATGAAGATTATTTTATTTGATATATTATATTATTATGTTTTTCTTAAATTATTAAAAATAATAATAGTATTTGCTAATATGAAAAAGGCCAAGTTTCTAGATTTATATTTATAAAAATACTAAAATTAATTTTTTATTGTTAAATATCTTAATATTTATAAAAAATAGAAAAAATAATTTTTTTTTTTTTTTTTTTTTTTCTTATAGAATGGTCACACAGAAGTAGAAAAACAGAATAAGAATGATAGAAAAAAAGTAAAATTAATTGTTTTTTAATGAGATAAAAAAAATAAAATAAATGAATTAATATATAAAATATACTAAAAATATATAATAAAATTAAAATGATTAAATTATTAATTACTATTTATTTTTAGAGTTGTGTTCATTTACTAAGAGGAGCAAAATCGAAAAAGAAAAGAATGAAAAAAAAGTATAAAGAGCAAGTTGATGATGAAGAATCAAGGCAGTTACATATGAAAATAATTGGATCCAAGATGGTTTTAAAAAAATATATATTATATAAAAAAATTTTTTTGTATCATTTTTTTTTTTTTTTAATTTTCAGTAAAATACACATATATTTTTTTCAAAATATTTTTTAGATGAAACATGAAATTGAAAAAGTAAAAACAGAAAAACATGGAAATATAATAACAGAAATGAAAAATAAATATAAAAATGTAAAAGATGTTATGGCAAACCTTGAAAAAATAGATGAGAACGATATGAAAGTAATAATATTTATATTTTATTTTACATAATTTCTTTTTTTTTTTTTTTTTTTTTTTTTTTCATTTTAAAATCATTGAAAAAAATAATATGGATTAAAAATTTTTAAATAAATAAACATATAAAATATTTCTGTGTATGTTTAATAGGTAAAATTAAGTGAATTGGAAAAATTGACTAGTTCACCGAAAGAAGGAGATAATTTATCTTTTGCAATCCCAATGTGTGCACCTTATTCAGCTCTTCAAGTTAAAATTTTTAGAATAAATCAAAAACTTTTATAAGATTATACAAGAAAATTTGCATTACTTAGTTATTTATATATTTATTTTATTTATTTATTTATTTATTTATTTATTTTATTTATTTATTTTTTTTTTTTTTTTTTTTTTTTTATCATATTTTATAGAATCATAAATATAAAATAAAATTAGTTACAGGTAATACAAAAAAAGGGAAAGTTGCAGAAACATGTATTTCTTATTTTTTAAAAAATTCCAATGATGAAAAAGAAAAAACTTTAATTAAAAATATATCAATGGATGAATTGGGTAATTGTATTATAACAAATTCAACACCATATATAACAGGATTAAAAGTTCCTAAAACTAATATGCAAAAAGGAAAGAAATGTAAAAAGACAAAATAAATTGTTTTTTTTTTTTAAAATCACATATAGATTTTACTTTTAGATAATTTTTAATTCAAGAAAGTTCTTGTTACATTTTATTTCATAAAATTATATCTATGTAAAATTCATTGTTTGAAAAAGTTTGTTTTTGTTTTTATCTTTTCCTTTTTTTTTTTTTTTTTTTTTTTTTTTTTGAAAACATATGCATTCATATAGTAAGAAACATTTTCTTATTTTATAAATCATGATTGTTTTTTTATTATTATCTAAAATAAATGAAATAACTTCTTTATATAGATATACATAGGTGTATATAATAAATAAAAAGAAAATCACTAATATATATATATATAACGCAATTATATTCCATCTTGTAATATTTATCACTTCAAAAAAAAAAAAAAAAAAATAATATAATGATAATTTTAAAATTATATTGTTAATAAAAATTTAATCTTATAAAATAAGTTATAATTGATATATGATTTTTCTTTATATTTCAATACTAATTTTGATGTATTTTTGCAACTAAATTTTTTTTTTCTCACCTAAAAATATTTTACCTTATGTTAATTATGAAAATTTAATATTTATTCATTGATATGATATAGTTATTTTTTTTTTTTTTTTAGATGATATCAAACTATAATAAAAGTTAAATTTGATTTTTAATAAAAATTACACATAATAGTTTTGTAAAAAATAGTAAAAAAAGATATTTGTATATTTTATATTATTTTGTATTTCAACATTCGGATCAATATATGTTATTTATATTATTCAAAAAAAGTAACGTGAAATATTAAAATAAATTTATGTGCTTAAAAAAAAAAAAAAAAACTTCTATAAAATATGTGTGTGACTATTTGTAAATGAAGCTGATTAAATACCTCATTAAGCTTTCTCATTTATATAAAGAAAAAAATAAAAAAAATCATTTAAGAGCATAAAATATAAGAAAATTACAATAATGAAATAAGAAAGTTTAATATGTACAAAAAAAAAAAAAAAATATTCTAGAATAAGAACAATATGAATTAATTAAAAAATCAGATTTCTTCTAAAAATATAAATTTTAAAAATTATGTATGATAAAAATTTTTTTTTTTTTTTTTAAATTATGAAAAAAGACATTTATAACACATTTCCTATTTTTAAATAAATATTGTTAGATATTTTTTTATCTATAACCATGTCATATAAAATTTAACAAACTTAGATGACTTGATTTATCAGTTAATGAAATAAATGATGGAAATAAAATAAAAAATATAAAAAAGAAATTTTATAATATAAAATTATATATTCTCCATATCTTATAAAGTTTAAAAATTTAATAATATAAAATTATATATTCTTCAAATCTTATAAATTTTGTTATTGTTGATTATTATTTAAGAAATGAACGATATTCTAATATAAATGTGTAATTTTGTATATATTTATTGTTACAGTAAAAATATATAATTTTCTACTTATTTTAATTAAAAAAAAAAATTTTAAAAGGATTTGACTGTATTTTTTTTAAACGTATTTAGAAAAAATAAATATTTAAATACAACATTTAAAAGTGCAATATATTATATATATATATATATCCAAATGTTTAATGTTTTAAAAATTTATGTTTGTTTTTATTTATTTCAAAATTAATAGAAAAAAAAAAAAAAAAAATATTTTCTGTTAAAAATATATACTAAAAGAAAAGTTATCTCTAAAGATAATTTATGTTAAAATAATTTTTCGTAATTAGAGAAGCTTACAAAAAAAAAAAAAAAAAAGTTTATCTACATATATATAATTAATTTTTTACAAATAGAGAAAAGTAACAACATATGAATATATTGTTTATTATGAATTATATAATAATTTAAAAAAAAAAAAATAGACTATGTTTTTAAAAAAATCCTTTATTATTAATACGAAAAAACTTCCTTAATGTTTCATTGTATTTAAAATGATTCTTACAATGTGAATTTTATCTATTATTTTTTTTTTTCATTTAATTAATTTATAATTAATAATTATTTAATTTTATTTTATAAAAAATATATATATATATATATTTTTTTTATACAATATTAAAATGTTTTTAGTAACATGATATTATAAAATTTATTTTAGTAAATAAGTATTTGTTAAAGATTCTTTTCAAAAATCAAATATTATGAAAAATTAGTTATGGTTGTAAAGAAAAGTTTGAGTTTTTTGTTTTTTTTTTTTTTTTTTTTTTTTTTTTAAATAATACAAACTATAAACATTTAAAACTACACAACAATGTTCTAATATATCTTAACTTATTTTACACATATATATATATATAGGTATTTTATTAGAGATGAAAAGATGATATTTGACATATATTCTTTTGAAAAAAAAAAAAAAAAAATACAAAGTTTTTACAAAATTTTAATAACTTTTTTATTCTTTTTTTAAAAAAAAAGAAAAAGTAACTTCAAAAAAAAAAAAAATGATTAAAATTAAATATAATAATTATAATGATGTAAGAAAAAATAATAGTATTTTAAATATAAGCTTTTTAGTACATCCTTGTTACTATACATCTTTTGATTTAGAAGAAAATGACTTAATAAATAAAAATACTTGTTCTAATTTTTTATATTATGCAGAAAAAATAAATATATATGATAAATCTGAATCAGTAAAAATTTATAGAAAAAATGACAATTTAGTAAGAGAATTAAATTTTATTAAAAGTTGTGAACTATTAAAACATACATATAAATATAAAATTCCAATAATATATCAAAATATTAAAAAATTTGACTTATTTAATCATAATACCATAAATTATTACCCCATAAATTATAACAGTACAAATAGAAATATTGTAAGAAATAAAAATTATAAATCAATTAAAAAAGAAAGATGTTTTATATTAGATAATGAAATGATTTACTCTATGACTCCTGAATATATCTCACAAAATATTAGAAATAATATACTTAATTGTGGGATGAAATTAAAAAAAAAACAAAAAACTTTTGAAAATGAAGTGAATACAAGTGAATATAAAAATGTATACAAAAAAGATATAGTTAAAAGCCATAATAAAAAAAAAATAAAAACGGGTAAAAATAACAATTATAATAATGAATATAATAGAACTAATAAGATAAAAAAGAAAATACTGATTCATTTAGATCCTTTTGCTGGAGCTGGAGGAAATAGCAGTAGTATGGTAGACGTGTTCACCATTGCATCAGATATTGATATGATTAGAATAAAAGAATGCCAACATAACTGTAACTTTTATAATAAAAATGTTGATTATATTTTATGTGATTTTTTTAATATAGTGAATCATTTTAGAAAAAATATAATAGACGTAATTTTTTTAAGTATTCCATGGGGGGGGCCGTCTTATAAAAAAAAAAAAAAATTTGAATTAAATTCTAAAGAAAATAAATTGTCTATTTATTCATGTTTAAGAGAGTCATTAAAATTAACAAAAAATTTAATTTTATACCTACCAAGAAATGTTTCTATGGAAGATTTATTTTATCTTTATAAATATTATAAAAAAATAATTAATTTAAAAAAAAAAAAAAAAAAAATAATGAATAGTGATGACATTTTTATTGAATTATATATTAACAGAAATAGATGTAGTTATCGTAAAACTTTTGATAACAGTTTATGTAGTTTTTATTATTTTTTTAACGAAAATTATAACTTATATAATAATGAATTTAACTTCTCAAAGATAAAAACCTTATTTAAAATTAATATAGATCAATGTAATGACTCTTTAGTTTTTTCGGATAAAAGTAACAAAAATTTTACAAATGAAAGAAATGAAGAAAATGCTGAATGTGAAAAATGTAGAGGAAGTTATGAAAGTTATAATAATTATAATAATGAAATAAAAAAAAAAAAAAAACTAATATGGAGATGGCACAACACTTCTGTGGTTCTTTATTTAGGAAAGATATCATCATTAATAAGAAAAAAAAAATTTATTGATTTTAATAGTATTTATTATATTCATAATAGCTTAATAAATATTGGAATTATAGGAAAAAAAAAAAAAAAAAATTTTTGTATATATTCATTTTTAGAGAACAAAAAGAATAAATTATTTTGCAATATTGTAGACATAATAAATAAAAAAGAAAATTTATCAAAAAAATTAGACATAAATAAGAAGAATATAAAAATTATTTGTTCATTAAAATACAGTAATGTAATTATTTTAAATTATTTTATTAAAAAGAAATTGCATGAAATTATTAGTAAAATATTACATCTGTTTTTTCAAAATATAAAAAACTTAATTGGTTTTCAAAAAATTAGCTTTTTAAATAAAATTTTTATTTATATAGAAAATTATTATGAAAAAATTTTAACAAAAAAATTAAATAATCATGGTAATTTAAAAAATTACGAAACATTCATATATCCAGAACCCAAAACATTTAGATGTTTACATCCTATAATTAATTATTTTAATTTTCTAATTTTTAAAATTAAGAAAGTATTAATTTTGCTATTTGGTATATATTTATATGATATATCATTTATGAAATATTTTTTTAAATACTACAAGACAAGATTATTATCAAAAAATATGAATAAAAAAAGTTTAAAAAATATTCATTATAATATAATAAGATTTTTGTTTGAATTTCTTCTATATATGAAAATTTTTATAAATATCTTGAATAATAATATTAAAATGCTTAATTTAATTAACATAAATTTTATAAATAATAACCTTTTATGTTTTTTAGAATTTTTCAATATAAGAAACAAGGGTTATAATTATATAAATTATATTGATAAAAATCAATTTATATTAAATTTCAGAAATTTTATAAAAAAAATTATTTTATTTTCCTTTAATTTAGAATTTAAAAGAAAAAGCACTACTATCAAGAAAATTGTAAATATATTTTTTCACTTTATATTTAAAGTAACAAATGTAAAAGATATTTTAAGTTGTCTAAATAATAATTCAAATGAAATAACCCTAGAATATTACAAATTAAATTTATATTTAATTATAATAAATTTTTTTACAAAACAATTTTTTTATAATAGTAATATTACATCATTTTTAGATTACTTTAATTCGCTAATTTATTTTTATCTTAACCAAATGCATATATTATCTAACTACCATAAAAATTATTCAAACATTTTTATTTTTTATTTAAACAAATTTTTAAATAACAAATTTTATGTAAGTATTATATAAACAATTTTTTTAATTAAATATACTTTATTCTTTATATATATATATATGTATATTTTTCTTTAAATGTAGATAACTTTTTCCATAATATAAATATTTTATATAAAAATATATTTTAAAATAAACTCATTATTTTAAAAAAGCTTTATTTGTGTGTATTTTATTTTTTATTATATTTAATATATATGTATGCTTTCTTATTCTTTAGAATCTTTAAATGAAACAGTTTTATTTAAACAAATTTTATACTATTAATATTTTTTTTTGGTGAAATTTTTCTTATTTTATTCCTTTTATATTTTGATTTACTCATTAAATTAATATATTCACCTGATAAAATTGTTTTAACTTATGAAATTTGTTTTTTATGTTCATTTATTTCTATAAAAACAAAATAATTTTCAAAATAAAAAGGAAAAAAGGAGAATTTTTCTATTGTAAATAATACAACAATTAAATTTTAAAACTTCACATTCAATATAGAATATAAAAGAAAGAAAAAAAAAAATTAATTTAATTTAATATTTTTTTTTATATAAATATGTATCTTTTAAAAAAATTGGATTAAAAAACATATTGAATACTTGATAATTAACATATTTTTAAAAAATAAAAATTAATGTAATAAATACTTTTTAATTGATAAAATTAATAAACTATAAATAAATTTTTGTAAATTTATCTTGTAAAATAAAAAATTAAAATTCATAAAATTCAATGATTAAAAAAAAAAGTTTAAATTTAATTAAATTTAAATATTAAAAAATAAAAAAATTTTAAAATATAAATAATATACAGGAAATATAATTTTTATATATAAAATTTTAAAAAATAAAAATATTTAATAAATAAGATAAAAATGAAAAAATAAAAACTAATAAATTTATATAATAAAGTTAAACTTATTTTTTGTAGAAAATTTAATACATACATACATATATATAAATGATACTAATTGAAATAAATTTTAAAAATGAAATATAAATTTTTTTTGTTTTAATTTGTAAATCAAAATGAAAATACCCAACCCGCGCGTTTATTTAGATGTAGCTATAGGAGGAAGAAATGCTGGAAGAATGATATTTGAAGTAAAGAAAATCAAATTTCTTTAAAATAACTAATTATAAAATTTATCTTATTAAAAATATATTTTTTTTTCTCTATAGCTATTCATGGATAAATTACCAATAACTTGTGAAAATTTTCGTTGCTTATGTACAGGTATTAAATTTTGAAAAATAATCTTAAAAAAATAAAAATAAAAATAAAAATTTTACTTTTTATTATTTTAAATAAAAAAAAAATTATTATTTGAAGGAGAAACGGGTTTAGGATATTATTTAAAACCAAGATGGTATAAAAATACCCCCATTCACAGAATTGTTACGGATTTTGTAAAAATTATAAAATTGATTAAAAAGACATATTTTTATAAATATATAAAAATTATATATATATATATATATATATTTTAGATGTTTCAAGGAGGAGATTTTAACTTTGGAAATGGTTTTGGTGGAGAATCAATTTATGGACAATATTTCAGAAACGAAAAATTCATATATAAGCATTCAAAAAGAGGTTTAAAAAATAAAATAAAATAATTTTAAAACTTTATATATTAATATATTTATATTATTTAATAAAGATTTTTATTTTTAATAATATAAACATTTAAATATATAATTATACATATTTTTTGTAATTAAAAGGAGTATTATCTATGTGTCAAACGAGAATTAAACATACAAACAATTCTCAATTTTTTGTTACATTCAAAAGTTGTCCATGGCTAGATAAAAAACATGTGAGAAAATAAAACTTAAAATAATCATTCTTTTTTTTCAAAAATTATTTTTTTTTTTTTTTTTATTTTTAGGTTGTATTTGGTCACCTGGAATATGGTTTTGAAACCTTATCTTTTATTGAAGAACAATCTACATTAATAGGAAAACCTAAGAAACAAGTTTACATATATAACTGGTAATTTTTCTATATATTTTTTTTTTTTTTTCAAGAATTTTATTTAGTTCATTTAAATATATGTTTTTTTATTATTATCCAATATTTTTGATACAACTAAAATAAATTTTAAATTTATTCTTTCTTTTATTTAAAAGTGGTGAAATTCCATTAGATAAAATTAAATATAAATCTTATAGAAATTCAAGTGATGATTATATTATACCAGTAATTAAAAAAATTTTAATTTCTTTAAAAAAATTAAAGTATAAATTCAAGTTTATATAAGTTTATGTTTTTTCTTTTTAGGATATAGAAATGCCTTTGTTAGAAAAAGACATAGATTTTAATGAAAATACAGATTTCAATGAATTAAAAAAAATATATAAAAACAGCAAACGATTTTAAAAAAAAAAAAAAAAAAAAAAAAAATTAAAATTAAATAAAAATGTTTTTATTAATTATAAATGAATAAATAAATTTTATTAATGTAAATTAAAGACTTATGTTTGTCAGTATTAAAATACAAATTTGTTATAAACATATTATTTTTTTTTTTTAGTTTTCCATTATACATATTTTGATAAAGGGGTATTTTTTTATCTTTTAATATGTTTTTTTTTTTTTTTTCAATTACATCTAACTTTATTATAGGTATTTCATCATATTTCTTATTACTTTTTGATTTAATTCCCAAACATTCAAAATTATCATTCTACAAAAAAAAAAGAAAAAAATAAAATAAAATAAAATAAAATAACAAAAAAGATAACCAAATATATAATGTAGAATGATTATAAATAGATTTAACAACTATTGGAAAATTAAAGTAAAAATAAAAAAAAATATAAAAAAAAGATAAAATTATAAATACATATATATATTTACCATTGTAAAAAATCCTAGCAAGTATACATCACTATGATTTTCAGTATCATAATGAACATAATTTGTATAATTTACATCTTTTGATAAAAATTCAGTTTCTTCATCACTACTATAAAAAATATTTTTTTGTAAATGAACATTTTCTTTTTTATTTATATCCATCTCATTATCTATTTTGCATATGAATATGCAATCTTTTAAGTTCTTTTTATAAATGCAACTATATTTAATTAATAATGCTTTAAAAAATTCTGAAGGATAAAATAAGTATTGAATATTATAAAACTTCAATTCCCCCGAAATATTCCAAAAGTATAGCTGTTCTTTAATTCTTTCATAATATTTAATAAAACTATCAACTGTTTTTATTTTTTTATTAAAATTACAACTCCATTTTTTTGGTATTTTACTTATTGATAAATTGAACATAATTTCTTTAGAATCAATATCAAAATTTTTTTTATTTTTATTTAATTGTTTTTCAATTTTTATTACATCGTTATATATTATATTTGTTATTTCTTTAAACTTTTTTGTTTCATTTATACAACAATATTGAATAGTTGTTTTGTCAGTTTTATTCCATTCTGAATTAACAGTTAAATTGTTTTTTAATGTCATTTTAAGTTTTTTTATTAATTCATAGAATTCATTCATTTTCTTAATATTTTTTAAAAAATTTAGATTAAAATAATCAATATCACAAGTATTAAAATCATCCAATTGTTCAAAAGTAACACCATTGTCTTCTCTACTATTTATCTTTATTAGAAATTTGCTTTCATACATTTCTTTTGTACATTCTTCTGACTCGAACTCTCTTAGTGTTTCTGTTTTATCTATATTTTCATATATATTTTCATCTTCATCAGTATTCATTAATGAACTTGAATAATAATCACTCTCCAAGTTGAAAAAAACATCTTTATCATTATTTTCTTTTTTATAAATTAAAATTTCCTCCTTACATATTTTTCTTAAATTACTTAATAGAGTATTATTGTATTCTTCATATTTCTTTTTATCAGCTTCTATTTTCATTCCATACATTTTACAACTATTAATAGATGGATAACTCTAAGATAATAGAAAACACATCATAATATAAAATATGAATACAAACAAAAATGAATAAAAAAAAACAATAATTATAATAAAAAAATAGAATAATTGAAATAATAATACAAAATAAATGTAATTTAGATAAAATATAAAAATAAAAATTATATATATAAATATCCTATAATTTGAAAAATTTGTTTAATTTATTTTTATTTTTACTTTAATTAAGTTCATATATTCTTTAGCAGATCGGTTTAATAAAAATTTATAATTGTATTTTTCATCCATTGAATATATAAATTCATTTTTTTCATTAAAAGAATATTCATTAAAATATTCGTTAATGTAACTTTTTATAATCTTTCTATCCATATAATTAACCTTATTACCATATCCGTTTAGGATAATATCTCTGTAGATTAGAAATGAAGTAAAATTTGATGTTTTTAAAATAAAAATATAAATATACATGCATATATATATATATATATATATATATATATATATATATATATATATATATATATATATATATATATAAAATATAATAATATGAATCTTTATATGAATAAACTATGAAATTGAATTTTTAACGTCTGAATAGATTTATATTATAATTTTTTTAATGGAATATGTGACTATTATGTATTCACATTTATTATGTTTACTTTATAAAATTCCAATTTATATTTATTTTCTTCTCTTCTATATCTTCACTAATAAATTTATTATTGAAAGTATCATATTTATTTTTATTTAGATTTTCACTTTTATTTAATACATTATTTATTTGAATTAAATCAAAATAATACAAAAGACAATCAAAAGTAATTTCAAAATCTTTATTATCAAAGTAATATAATTCATCAAAACCAAAGTTATCATAATTGCATCTAGATACTAAAATACTATGAAAGAATGCTAATGAAAATAAAAATGAGTTCATAAAATTATTTTTTAGCTTATCTTTATAAATATTATAAGTGTAAGTAAAAAATTCTATCAAAAAACTTTTAAAATGTTTTTCTCTGTATGAATAAATTTTAATAGCTTTTTTATTTATTGAAATAGAACAATTTTTTTCTGATGTTAAATATAATTCAAAATTTGAATGAATTTTTTTATTATTATAAATTTCATAAAATTTTTCTATATTAAAATTTATTAAATGTATATTTTCTAATAGCAATTTTTTTCCATTTTGTAATGAAGTTTCTATTATTATTTGAATATCACTATTGAAATTATTTCCAACACTAAAAGTTTTTATGTTATTGTTAGATGGAATAGTATCATATGTATGATATGGTTCTACTATATATAAAAATGTTTTTGTATCTAAGTAGTTTAAATCATTTGAGAAATAAGAACTACAATTAAGATTTTCTGATAAATCTAAATAATTTTGTAACAAAAAATATATGTAATAATATAATCTATCCTTACGCATTACATATATGAATAAAATAGTTTCTAATTTGTCTAAATGAACTCTTTTCAGAAAAAAGAAGTTATCTTCAGGTTTGGTTTGTTTATACCAATTATAATATTCGGTAGAATTTTTTATTAAATCATCAATAAGTTGTTTAAAACTTTCAAATTCTTTTCCTAAAAACATTAGTTCTTTCTTTTTTTTAGTATTTAACCATTCTATTTTTTGTAGATATGTTACGTCAATATTTCTTAGGTTTTTCATCCTCATAAATAAGGAATAATATTTTTCTTTTTCTATTTTAAATGATTTTTTTATATCATTTAACTTTTTTTCTTCAAATATTAAAGAGGTGTAAAAGAGGAAACAAAAAAATAATTTATCCTTTGTATTTATAGTATTTAAAAAAAATACAAAACAATTATGAGTAAACTTTTTAATCAATTGATTAAAATTACATATTAACATTTTCTTATTAATATTTTTAATTAGATGATTCAAAATATTTAATAAATAATTAAAATTGAAATTATAAACTGATTTCACCTTGGATTGTTTTTGTAAAACTTTATATATGCTGTAAAATCTATAGCCTAAATATTTTATATTATCTGAAGAATTTTTAATTTTCTTAATTTCATTTTTGTATTCTTTCAATAATTTTTTTATTTCCATTTTTTTTAAAACGTTGTTATTTATAGCATTAATTAAATTATTATGATTATTAATTTTATTATTAAAAGCACACAATTCTAAAATCATACCATCATCTAAAAATTTTAGTGTTTGCTTTGTTTCATAGAAATTTCTTATTTTTGTGTTAAAATTAATTACTTTTTTTTCATCCTCATGTTTCAATATTATATTTACAATTTTATTTATAATTAAATTTTTATCTATTTGAAAATCTATTATATTAACATAATCTTCAATATCCTCAAAATATCTATCATTCGTATCGCTTACAAGGAATAATCTAAATTGATTATTATATTCCAACTTTTTCATACCTAAATAAATATAATAAGATAAAAGAAAAAAAAAAAAAAAAAATTAATATTTGTGTGATAAATTATGTATATAAATAATAAAATCGTATATATATATATATAATTACCAATATTGATATAATATTTTCCATTTAATAAATATATATTTCTTTCAATAATAGGCTCAATGATGCTGTAATTTGAATTAAGTTTAATATCTTTATTTTTTAATTTAAATTTAAGAAAATTTTTTTTATATAATAAATCCTCTTTTATATTTTTAAAATTTTCTTGATCTAAGTATTCACAATTATAATTTTCATCATTTGTTTTTTCATAAATATACAAATTCTGAAAATTAAAAAAAGGTATTATTAGACTTTTTCCATATATTATACACATATCTAAATGTTTGCTAAGATTTTCATCAAAGTTGTGAATAACTAAATTGTTGCTATAACTTTTTTTTAACCAATCAATTCCTATATTTTGTTGATCTAAAAACAAAGGCCATCTAAAATGATTTAAGGATATTAAAGCATTTTGTATATAAAATATGTGTCTAGGAAAATTATCAGAAATAAATAAAGAAATTATGCTATCACATGAATAAATGTTTTCTATTTTTATATCATCTTTTATTAGTATATTATTTTTTTTTATAATTTTTTTCCATGTATCCAATAAATAACATCTATATTTATAATTAAAGGAGGATGAATAATTTAGAAAAAAGGAAAAAAGTAAAATTTCAGAAACTAAATACTTATAATTGCTTTCAATTTTTTCAATAGTATATGTATATTTATTTTTGATTTTTTCTAAAAATTTTTTGATCTCTAAAAATGGTAAATAAGATTTATTAATTACATTTAATTTTTTATTTAGATCTTCAATTTGCTCACTTTGATCGTTTACCTCATTTTTACTATTTACAATAGATGATTTTATTCTATGCATTTCTTCTAATAACTTTTGGTTTTCACTCTCATATTTTTCTTTTTTCGTTTTATTATTAGAAATAATTACATTTATATCACAAGCATTTTTATAATATTCCTTATATTTAATTATAAAAGTAATCCACTCAAAAAAAAAAGAAAACAAATTATTCATTTGGTAAATTTTTTGAGTATTATATATTATCTCATCTTTGTTCATGTATTCTTTCACTCTTTTTATTTGTTTATCCGTTACATTTTCCTTTTTAAAATTAAAAAAAAATTTAGAAAAATTATCTTTTGATAGAAAGTTTTTAAAGTAATTCCAGTTATCAATATTGTCATTTAAGAATGAATTTCTAATTAACGTATTTAACATAATTGATATATTAATTAGAATTACATCTGGATTATTCATCTTTAATATATTTTTAATTTCATTATTTTCTACATTTTGTATTTTAAAAATAATAGATATACACTCTTCCTCAATTTGTTTCTCTGATTCATTTTTATTTTCAATCATTTCATCGATATCATTAGTAACTTTATTTAAAATTTTTTTATTGCTGTTAAACTTTTCTTCAATATCTATTAATAATTTGGAATTTATTTTAATAGAATCATTTAATTTAACAATATTATCATTCAGATTAGATACTAATGAGTTTATAGATTCAATTTCAATATACATATTTTCATAATTTTCAAATATAATATTAATTTTTTTTAGACTCATTTTAAACATATATAATTGCTTATTCTTATAATTTAATTTATTTTTTAACAAAATATAGAACATAATCAAAGAATCCATAAAATTGCATTTATTGACTCTTATGAAATCTAAATTTTTATTTTTTTTTAAAAAATTTTTTAGATCATAATATACTTCTATAAAAGTATTAACAATGTTTTCATGTTGATTTTCAATTATATTGCAAATATTATATTTATACTTTTTTCTGCTATAAGAGTCATATTCACTCAATATTTCTCTACTAAACTTTTTTATATTGTTAATACCTAAATTTTGACTATTTTCTTCACTTAGATTCTTGCATAGATCATCATTTTCATTTCTATCTTTTTCTTTAGAAAATTCATTATTATTTATAATTTCTCCTTTACTTTCACTTTCTATATTAATCTCATTTATTTTTTCATTCATATTTTCTACATTTTCAGTTTTACTAACATTTTCATTTTCGTTAGTTTCTCCTACAGTTTCAGCTTTGTGTTGATCATTTTTCGTAGTTTTTAATAAATTATCTTGATCATAATTATTAAAAATATTAATTTCTTTTTTTTTCTCTAATTTTTTATCATGGTTTTCTTTTGTAAATTTATTTGTTCTAAAAATGCTACCATCATTATCTTCTGTTTTTTGATATTTTCTATATTTTTTTTCAATTTGATTATTACCATCTATTTTATTTTTAAATTTATTTATTTCTTTTTCATTTTTTTTTTTTATATTCACATTAATATTTTCATTTACTTTCAAAGCTTTTTTTTTTTTTGTACCTTCTATGTTATCTTTTTTTTTAATTGATTTACTTAAATTTACATTTGTACTACTTTTTGAGATATCTTCGTTATTATTTTTTTTTTTTTCCATGATGTTATTTGTACCTTTCCTTATATTTTTCACATTAGAAGTATTTTCATAATTCTTAGATTTTTTGATATATGTAGTTATTAATTTATCTTCATTTTTCTTTTTATTTTTTTCTATTTTAGTTAAAGATTTATTTTCTTTTTTAGGGTTCTTATATTTATTTTCAGAATTATTTTGTTCCTCCTTTCTTATATTTTTGTTCGTTCGAAAGCCTTTCTTCTTTGTTATTCCTTCTTTTATTATCTTTTCTTTTTTTTTTTCATTTTCAAATTCATTTTTATTATTTTCTTCGCTTCTACTTTGATTTATCTTTTCCTCTTCTTTCTCATTTTCGTCATTTCCTTCTTTTTCTTTTTTTTGTTCTATTTCTTTTTCATCTTCATCCACCTTTTTTGAATCCATTTCATTACTTTTCTCATTTTTTCTTTCTCCTTTTTCATTGTCATCTTTATTTGATATTTGTAAGTCATTTTTCTTTTCTTTCTCTTTTTTTGTCGCATTTTCATTCTCTATCTCATTTTCCTTAATATTGTTTTCTTCTTTCTTCTGTTTTATATAATCCAAAGAATTTACAAAAATTTTATTGTCGTCTTTTTCCTTTTCTTTTTCTTTTTCTTTTTCCTTTATTGTTATAGTTTTGTTTTCTTTTTCAATGTCATCTTCTATATTATTTAAAATTACTTTTTTTTTAAAATTATTTAATATATTATCTATAAAATGATTGTCTTCATAATTTTTTAAAAACAAAATACAATACTGAATATATTCTTCTTTAGTCCAACTATCTAAATGAATGATATTAATATCATTATAAATATTTTTGTAATTTTGAAAAACATTAGTTTTTAAATCAAATCTTTTTTCATGAACTAAACAAACATATGTATTCTTTTTCATCTACATATTAAAAAAAAAAAAAAAAAATAAAAAATAAAAAATATATAGTTTAACGTATATCAAAAAAAGTATTTATTGTCTTAAATAATTTTATTCTTTTTTTTTTTTTAATTTTTTTTTTTTTTTTTTTTTTTTTTTTTTTTTTTATTTTTTTTTTTTTTTTTTTTTTTTNTTTTTTTTTTTTTAATTTTTTTTTTTTTTTTTTTTTTTTAGTTATATTTAATGTATATTTATTTTTTTTTTTTATAGATATTTTCTAGTAATTTTTAATATATATATTTTAATTACAATATTTTGAATATTTTCCCATTTTAAATCGTTTGAGATCAAACTTGTTTTAGTATACATTTTGAATAGTTCATTTTTCTCATAAAAGACAGAAGGAAACTTTTTATAAATTAAAGAATAGAAATAGTCATTATATTTATTTGAATAATTAATTAGTATAAAAAGATTTCTTTGAAACCTTAATTTATTAAAATAGTTAATTTTGTCTTGCATGTTTTCAACTTTATTAGATTTATTTATTATAATTGTGTTTATATTTAATATGTATGCTACAGCATTTAGTATTGTAACAGCTCTCTTTTTATTCATGCAAATTATCATTGATGCATTTATATTTTTACTTATTTTTTTATAAATTTCTACAATGTTTTTAAAGTAAAATTCTACAAATATCTTGGCATTCATATACATATTATTGTAATTGCTTAAACTTCTAACGAATTCATCTTTAAGTAAATCAATGTCAACTTTTTCATGGACCTAAAATTAAAAAAGTCGTGTAAAAGAAAAACAAATTTTTATTTAGAAAGTATTAGAATAAAGTATTTTTTATATTAATATTATTACATCTTTAGAAAAATAATTTAAGTAAGTAGATAAATTTTCATTAATTAAATTAGGAAAATAATTATGTTCAATATCTGATAAAAATCAAAAAAAAAAATTGAAAGAATAAATTAAAATAAATATTCATTTTATTTTTTTTATTTTTTATTTTATACTTTCTATTTTTTTCTTTATTTCTTCTTTGTTTTCCTTTTTTAAAATTCTATTTAAAATTATACTTTTAGTATTTTCACTAAATAAAAAAATAAAAAAGACATTAATGATTTCATCAATACATATTTATGTTATTTTTCATATGTATATAATATATCTTAAAACATATTTTTATTTTGTTTAATTTGTTTTATTTGATTTTTTGTTTTTTTTTTTTTTTTGTTTAAATACCACCAATTTTTTATAACATCTTGTTCATTTTGAAAATTAGTTTTAGTATAAAAAAAATCTTCATATAACAAAAAAATATTTTCTTTTGTAAATAATAAATTGTTTTCTTTTTTTTCTTCAAAATTAATGTCTTCATGAATTTTCCATAATACTTCTAAACTATAACTTACTAACTTATTATGTATAGTCTTATTAAAGAAAAAAAAAAAAAAAAAAAATAGTATTTTTTTAATTTTATGTTAATATAAAAATATTAGATTCTAATTATATAATTACTTGAAATTTGTCATGTAATGAATAACTTATTAAAGCATTAAAATAATTTACTAAACATTTTTTGTTTGTATTTAAAAAGAAAAAGGAATAATAATATGAAATGTTTTGATAATAACTATTTTTTTTAATTTGTTCAAAATCTAATGAAATTATGCTTTTTATATTTTCTATATTAATAATTTTGTTTTCAAAATAGCATAAGTTCCTTTGTAAATTTTGTAAAAATTCTACAGAATGATTATTTAATTTTTCCTATAAAATATTAAAATATAAATAAGAATTTATAAGGTTCCTTACAATTGTCTTTTTTTCTTTTTTTCTTTTTTTCTTTTTTTCTTTTTTATTTTACATAATTTATGTGAATGTCATCTATGCAAATGTAAAAAACAGATTCATGAATATATCTTTTAACATTCTTTTTTATTAATTTATCATGTAGGATTTTAAAATTAAGAACATTAGTATATTTCAAAACATTTACTATAACGTGATCAATGTTTTTATTTTTATTAATTATTTCTTTTAAAATAGTTGTTTTGCAATTTTCTGAATATAACATAAAAACAATATAAAAATGAGTAAATATAAGAGAAATAGAAAAAGAAAAAACTGTATTACTATTATTGTTTTAATAAAGTATAATATGAAAAAAAAAAAATAAATAAACTATAGATACATCATATATACACATAAATAAAAGTAATAGTAAATGTTTATTATATTAAAAATTTATTTTACACAAGTAGTGTCTATTCATTTTAAATATACTAATTTTATAAATAATCTTTTTTTTTTTTTTTTTTTTTTTTTTTAATTATATATTACTTTTATTTCCTATTAAGCAAATATTAGACTCGCCTTTATATAATAGACTAATGGAGTTAATTTTTTTTTTTATTTCTTCATCATAAAATATTAAATGTTTTTCATCAAATTCATTATTTTTGATAATCTGCACATATATATATATATATATAAAAAATATATATATTATAATTTATCTATTATATTAAAACAATTTGAAGATTTTTTTTTTTATGGAAATAAAAAAGATATATTACATTAAAAAACTCACTAATAGGAACCCACTTATCTTTCTTTATATGATAAAAACAATTTGTTAAATTACAATTAATAGAGATATCATTATATATACATAATTTTTTGAGAAATGTAAAAAAGTTAGATTTTTCATTATCAATTAAAAGATTGTTAAAAACAAAAATGAGGCAACTTATTAAAATAAAAACGGCTTTATTTTTAATAATTGTTAAATTTAAAATTTCTTTTTTATTATATTTTTCTATTTTCTTATTATTTTCTCTTTCTGCTTGTAATAGACATATATTCTCTATGTAATTTTTATCTATATTATCTAAATTATATTCTTCGTTTGATGCATATTCTTCATTTATATTTTCATTTAAGATTGTTTTTTCAGAATTATCTTTATGTAAAGTTTCAATATTTTGAAAAGTATAAGAATCATTATTATTAGAAGATTTGCTATATTCATTTAATTCATCAGATAAATTACATTCTTTTAAAAAAATTAAGAAATTACTTTTAAAAATATCTATGAAATTATTTATTATAATTTTATCACTAGCACAAAAATTAAATAAGTCGTTTTTTGTTAAGTTGTCATTACTTAAAACTATATTTTTCATATCAACATTTTTTGTGTAATAGTTAGCTATATTAAAATTTTCTCCTTTTCTTTTATTTATATAATTAAAAATATGTAGAAAAAATTTTCTATAAAATAATTTAAGCTCATCATATAGTCCAAAAATAATTTTTTTTTTTTCCTCATGATTATTAATATAATTTGAATCATTTTTATTATTCTGTATGTTTTTTTCTGAAAAAAAATTAGCATTCAGAATACAATCTAATGCTACAAAACTATTTTTTTTAAAATAATTATATATATTTATATTATCTTTAATTGAAATTTTATTCATTTTATTAAGTAAATAAGGATCCAAAAAGGAGATATTATTGCACTAGAAAAACAAGATTAAATAAATAAAAAATAAATGATAAACATTTATATTGACAATATTTATTTATTTGAATATATATATATATATATATATATATAAATAAATTTTGAAATAAAAATAATACAAAGAATATAATATAATCTTTTAAACTAATTTAGTATTTCTTCTTTTTTAATTTTCTATATAATAAATATAATAGTATAAATATTAGTTTATTTGTATCTATTTTTATTTACCTCAATTATAATCTTTAATTTATTCCCATAGGTAAGTTCTTGTTGATTTTTATAATAAATTAACTTATTTAAGGATAACAAATTATAAACAATAGGATTAAGATAATTCAACTTCATAATAAATGTGTATTCATCATTTTTTTGTTGTTTCTTTTTCATTATATCATATAAAAAACTTTCATTAAAATTATTAAATGAATCTAAAAATTATTCATTTTTACAATAAATTGTGAGAAAAAAAAAAAAAAATTATAAAATATTTTATGTTTTAGAAAATTTTTAATTATTCTTAGTTATATCTTTTTATTTTATGATAGTAAGAATATATAAAAGGTTATGAGTGTACATAAATGTATAAAAACATTTAATTATTTAAGAAATTCAATAACGAGAAGAAAGAAAAGATATATAAGTTATACCATATAAAGAATCTAAATAAATAAAGGAATATTTATAATTATATAATGTGTTGTATATTTTTAATAAAGTCGTTTTTCCACTATAAATATTTCCATATATTATAGACAAAAACTGATTATCTAATTTTTCTTTTAATACATAAATATCTTTTTCATATTTATAAAATAAATCATCCTTTAAATATATTCGGTCATTTTTTAATAACTAATAAAATAAAAAAAAAAAAAAAAAGACAAAAGTTATTCATATATAAAATTACACTTATTATTATGATTCTATATATAAAGGTGCATGTAAATAAATATATATTTTTTTTTTTATAAGTATTGAATTTATTATGTATATTTATCAATATATTTAAATAGGAGGCTAAAAAAATATAGTTTTAAAACTTAATAAAATAATAATTTTTTTCGTTTTATTTTAATTTTTATTACTTCTTTTAAAGAATCTCTTTTTTCTTTTAAATTAAAGTTTGTAATTAATTCCACACCAAAAAATTTGTTTATTAATTTTTCAAATTTTATATGTTCTATGTTCTTCAATTTATCATAATAATATATGAAAATATAATTAGCTATCAAAAGATATTCACTATATTCATTATATTGATTATTTCCTTTTCTACATAAACTTATTATGTTAATTATATCATTTAAAATATTATTATTCGAATTAAAATAAACAAAATTTAAATATTCCATAAAATTCAAAATTTTAACACATAAATGTTTGATATTAGAAAAATTATTTATATATAAAAGAATTTCTATAAGTTCTACTTCTTGACAAGTATTTATAATAACTTCTTTGCACAAATTTTTTAAATTAATAGGAATATTCCCACATCTATTTTTTAAAAAAAAGAGTGTTTATATTATATAATCGGAACAATTTATATATATATATATATGTATATATATATGCAAAAATACCTATAGGATTTAGAAGTAAAAAATATTACACTGCTACTATTAAATGTAATGTCTTTATTAAAAATATAAATATTTTTTTCTTTTTTCTTTAAACCTTTTAAATTTAAGAAAAATTTTAACATTATAAATAATTAAAGAAGAAAAAAAAAAAAAAAAATGATTTATATGAATGAAAAAATTATTATTTTGTATTTCACTATATATTATTTATATCATTTAAACTTTTTTTTTTTTTTTCTAGTGGCATTTAATTTAAATTATTTATTTTTATATATGGTGTTTTCATTTAATTTATTATATAAATATATATAAGATGTACATGTTTGAACAGATCTAAATATATTTGTTAAAACAGATAGTATCTCCACTTTTACTTCATCAACATTTTGAAAAATTAAAGAATAACCTAATAAATTGTAATAAAAAATTCATTTAAAAATTTAAAAAATGAAATAAATTTAAATTACTTTTACTTGAAGTTTTTTCTTTAAATTACCTGACTGAATTACACCAAGCAAAATATTTTTTATATTATTTGCACTTCCTTTAATAAAGTATGATCTCAAACCTAAATTTTAAAAAAATAACATAAAAAATAATATACTATATATATATATAGATATATAAAAAAAAAAAAAAGTTTGAGAAAATGATTATTTATGCATTTACCTAATGTAGATGTTATATATTTTATGGTTGAAGTTTTATTTTTTCCACATATTATATTGTAATAAGATTTTTGAATATTTGAACATATAGAATATATATATTTATTGTTTGACAATATATTTACAAATAAGTCATTATTTTCTAATATGTCATAATTATATCTTAAAAAAAAAAAAAAAAGAAAGAATAATTATGTGGAATTTATTTGACATTTATCACAGTGTATATTACAATAATTTTTTTAAATCAGTTTTTATTTTTTTTTAATTATTTTTTTTTTTTAATACTTAAAAGTATAATTTCCATATTTTACTGAAATATGTTCGTTATTTTTATCTAGAATATATCTAAACTGATAATATAAAAAGAAGTTATTTTCATCAAATAAATTTTCTTGAATTGCCTTTTTTAACATATTAATAAATTCTAAAAAAATAATTATAGATTGTTCTAATTTATGAACATTTTTTCCTTTCTCCTTTTTTAATTCTTCCATTAAATCGTTAGACTATAAAAAAAATAATAAAAATAAAATAAGAAATTTAAATATTACTTTAGAAAAAATAATAACACTTATTTATTTTTAAACATACAATATCCTTATACTTCTCTATGACTTTATTGGTATAATTTATACTTTTTGTTTGAATTATATATTTCATTTCTTCACTTAACACCACTTTTATTACAATATTTGAGATAACTGATATATTGTTAATAATAATCGGAATTATTCTATAAATGAAAATTAAACATTTTGTTATTTGGTTAAAAAAAAGGGGGGAAATAAAAGGAATGATAAAATATAGTAAAATAAACTATTTATTATTAGGAAGGAGAAATGTAAATTTGTTATAAAAAATGATAAAAGAATAATACAGTGAAAATATATAATAAAACTAATACAATAGGAATAAAATGCATGCATGTATTTTTCATTAGAGTATGGAAAAGATGTAAATATAATAGAAAAAATACATATATATTACTTGTTTGTATTGTGATAATTTTTTAAACATGTAACAATGCTTTCTTTTAAAGCACTTTTTATTTTTTCTTTTAAAATAACATAAGTGTCTATTCCTATTATTTTTAAGCCATTCTTTAGGTTGAATATATTCTTTTTTGTAGTGATAATTTCAATTATCTATACAACATTTATAAAAGCAGTAAGTATTAGAGTAATAAGAAAAGTAGAGTTACAAGATAATATTATAATTTTTTATTAACACACCGTTTTATCAATATCATTAAAAGTTAGAAGATCTTCATAAATTATGTAACAGTATTTTTTTAAATTCTCTGTTTCTGTATTAGCTATATAATTTTTTTTTAATACATATATGCATATATATTTGTATAAGAATTTTATTAAATTTTTTATTTATTATTATAATTATTACACAAAAGATCAAGTAACTCCTCATCACTTAGAAAGAAAAAATCTGGATATGCAAATTTTTTGTCTTGCAAAATATTTAATGTTTCTTTAGATAAAAATAATACACGATCATAATAATTTTTTAAAAAGTAAAAAAATTGAGTGTTGCAATTTTGAAATAAATTTAAATTTTTTTTTGCATTTTTCATTATTTCAATATATGTTTTATTTATTTTATTGAAATTTTTTAATTCATTGCTAAAATGACTAAAATTTTCATTGTTGTAGAATCTTTCTAAGTTAATCCATTTTTCTTGTATCTAAAAATATTTGTATAATAAAAAGATATAATAATGACAATATATATTTTTGTCTTTTTTTTTTTCTAAATTCAAAAAAAAAAAAAAAAAAAAATATTTACTAATATCCATAATGACAAAAATTCGTAGATAAAATGTAATTTATTTTGTAAATAATTTATTTTAGGAATTAAATCATGAGCAAAATTTAAGTTTCTCATTAAATGTAAATCACTAAATGTTTTTTTAATATTTTTAAATATATTCTTGTTATCATCTAATATAAAATAATCATTATATTTTTTTATTTTTAATGATTCTTGCTTCCAGTTATTTTCAATTTTATTTAAGTAATTTTCTAATTTTTCAACTTCCTATTATATGTAAAAAAATATATAAATATATAAATATTTTAATAAGGATTCTTATTTAAATGAATATTTTATAAGAATTATGTTGCACATAGATTAAGATTTATATATTTTATTTTATTTTTTTTTTTTTTTACTTTAATTTTATAAATTATATATTTGATATCATTAAAATGTAAGTAAATTTTTAATTCATGCATATCATAAAGAGTTATGGATTTAATATTTATATTTTTATCATTAATAATAATATTGTTTTCAAATTTTATTTGGTATTTTATCTTATTTTTCTTTGAATGAAGATTTATTATTTCATGCCAATTTGTTAGTTTCATATTTGTGTTTTGTAATAAGTAGACAATAATTAAAGTTGTATTCATTTTGTTTAATTCTTCATTAATTTTTTTATATGCCTAAAATAAATACATTATAATTTTAAGTAATGAAAAAAGATACTTAAAAAAAACTACATAATACGGTATTACTAAAATATTCTTGGCTTCAGGTTGATCTTTTTCCAATTCTAATAATTCATTTTTTACTTCTTTTAAAGATTTATTTATTTCCTATATAATTAAAAAAATAAATATAAACAAAATAAATATAAACAAATAAATATAAATTTTATATTTTTATTATCATATTATATATATATATATATATATATATATATATATATATATTTTTTACATACTCTAATATTTAATTTATAATAAATAACATCTAAAAAGTCATTTATTCTAGTAGTATAAGAATTATATATAGAATAAATCGAATTATAAATTTTTATAGTATTTTTTAATAGGTAAAAATTTTCAAATAGTAGAATTTTCATGTTGCATAAAATTTGAGCTTTAATTATTTCATCTTTTTCTATCTCTAATAATTTAAAATCATTTATATATTTTTTTAAGCTTTCCATTCCTATATATATAAAAGAAAAAAAGAAGATTTTTTATAAAATGCAGATAATAAATATTGATAAAAAGTGTATATAAAATATAATTATTTATAGAGATATTAATGAAAATAGATTAGAACTCCAAGAAATGCTAATATATAAGTATATATTAAAAAAAAAATATATATGTAACAATTTATAAATTTCTTTCTAACCTTCATTTAAATTAATATTTTCAGATGATGGACCACAAAGATGAAACTTTTTTAGAATATTTTTCACTTTTTCTTCAAACAAAATTATCTATTTAATAAAAAAGAAAAGTAAAAAGAAAATTTATATATAAATATACATACAAAATACATATAAAATTATACAAGTATTAATGTAAAAAATGTTCTTAATTATAATATTTTAGTTACTTTGTTTTTGGTATTTTTGTAAAATTCTTGTTTTATTGAAAACATTAGATTATCATTAAAAAAAGCTATATTTAGCATATTTAAGTATAATGGATATAATAAAAATAACTTTTTCTTTTGTTCTTCGTTTATGTTATTATCTTCGTAAATTGTTAATATATTATAAATCTCTTCTGTTTTTTGAATATTTATCTCTATATTTATATTTTCTGTTTTTATTGTGTTTATTGTTTTTATAATATTTTCATATTTATCCATTGAATTAGTTGCTGTTTTAAGTATTCCACTTGAATTTTTTGTAAAACAAAAAAAAAAAAAAAAAATACATATTATAATGTAAAAAAATATTTTAGAATATATATTTATTTTTCATATATTTAGATTTTCTATTATTTATTTCCCTTTAATATTTGTTTATATTTATCATTATTTTTTTAATTACCTATATTTAGTTATTTCACTCATAGTGGAGCATGTTAGTGTGGTAAAAATAAAATGTAAGTTATTAAAAAAAAACTTTTTAGAATCTAATAACTTGTTTTTGATTGAATTAAGAACAAACGATATATTTAAAGAAATAAATTGAATTGTTTTTTTATCATTTTCTTTATCAATTTTATTTTGAATATTTGTAATATTTTTTAGAATATTATCATAATAGATTAGAGGGTATGAAATATTTTGATGAATATTAAAACTACTTTGAGCTTTAATGATTGAATTTATTATATTATCATACTTTAAAAAGCTATATATGTATTTATTAGCTTTTTGAAAAACGTTTTGTATTAATTGATGTATGTGTATTATTCTATCAATGATTATTTTATTTTTACTAACACTTTGATAAAAAGAAAATTTCATTTTAAAAAATTCAAAATCTTCTTTTAATGATATAGGAACTTCAATACAAGAGTAATCTAACCATCTAATAAATTCTGAAGATGATAATAGTAAGTTTGTTAGTAATTTAGATATTAGTTTAAAAATATTTTGTATTGAATTATTTAAAAATACATCTGAATAAATATCTTCTTTAATATATAAACAGGGTTTATAATTATCTAAAACTTTTTTTTGAAAATCGTTTTCAATAAGCGTTTCATAGTTACACAAACCTTTTATAATTATTAAACTTAAACATTTATATATTTTGCATTGATACAAATAATACAGTTCATCCATTATCTCACTTCTACCATTTTTTGTTTTTTCTACAATTTGTTCTATTTTAATTAATATTTGTGATATTTCTTTATATTTTTGTAAAATTTTATTAATTTCATTAATCCTATATTCCTCAAAATAATTAAAAAAAGGTTGAATATGTAACGGCTTCATATTACCCCAGTCGATATATCTAACTACGTTAACATTTTGCATATTATAAATAATTTTATCTATACTAGTAAGAGAATATGATAAAGATAGATATACATTTTCAATTATACTTTTACAATTCTTTAAATCAGTAATATAATAATCAATATTTAAGTTTAACCAATTTATATTGTTTGAAATATATATTAGTTTTTGTTCAAAACATTGAAAAAATTTTATTAAAACTTTTTGTTCAATAATTGATTTGGTTGTAGTAAAACTCTTAAAAAAGATAATAATTTCATTTAACTCATATAAATATCTATATAATTTTTTTTTTAAGTTATACATATTTAATATTTCAATAGGTGTATTAAAGTCATATATAGATTCAATGTAAGCATATTCATATATTGTCTTAAAAAAATTATTATCAAAATTAATTACATAGTAAAAGTTTAGCTGCTTATTTATAGTGATTATATTGGATGATAAAATCTTATTCATTTGAGAAAGAGAACTATTCTTCCAGATAAAATAAGTATCAACAATATATGAAAACATTTTTTTACAAAAATTAATATATAATTTAACTATAATTTTATACTCATTTGATGAAGTTATGTAGTTATTATTTTTAAATATTAAAATTGGTTTTTTAATTTTTTTATATATATTTAAGCAAAATAACATTCTTTTATAAATATCTAAATCCTTATTAGTACACATGTTATTAAATAAATCAATATACGAATATAATTCTTTTTTATATAAAAATAAGATATCATATAATTTTTTTATTAGTAATCTATCTATTTTATAGTTTTTTTTCAAATTTTGAAACTTTTCTACTAACAAATATGTTGATTTAGTGTTTCTTAAATGAGAAAATTGAATATAAATGATTTTAATACATTTTTTTTCTATTTTTAAGCATTGCTCATTTAATTTTTTCATTAATAACATAATCGATTCATCATCATAAAGATATATATTTTTTAATACATCATTAAATGGCTCATATAATTTATTAATTTCTAGAATTATGTTATTCATAATTTTTTTGTTATTTACTAATTTTTTTAATTTTATTAAGCATAAATCAGTGAAATATATAATTTCTGAATAAACAGTATAAAGGGTAGCTAACACATGTTGCAAATGTCTTATATTTTTAAAAATTATACTTTTATCAAAATACCAATTTTTTCTTATATCAATAGTTTCTATATCAAGTTTAACGTATATAAATTCTTTTTCATAAAACTTCAATATATCTGTACATTTAGAAAGAAACTTTTTTATTTTTTTTGGCTTATTTAATTTTTTAATCTTGATAGCTAAGAAAAGTATAAATTCAAATATTATTTCTGAAAGCCTTAAAAAGAAAGCTATTATAATCTCATCTTTGCGAAAATATTTAGAGCTAAGCCAAATATTTTTTAATTTTCTCATTACCAATTTAATACTATTTTTCATTTGATTAATATGACTAAACTTTAAAGTTTCAAAAGAGCTTTCTAGAATTTTGCTAAATTTTATCATTTCGAATGATTCAATATGCATATTTTCAATTTCTTTTAACAGTAATTTTATTTCGTTGCATAATTCATTATTATAAATTTTTCCTTTTATGTTTTCTATAATTTGTTCAAATTTTTTGCTATTTATTTGTTCAAGTAAGTTATATACTCTATGAAATCTTTCTTTCCAGTATTCCACAACTGTTTTATCGTTTTTTTTTTTTAAATCATTTTTTTTTTCTTTTATTATAAAATCCTTGATTATATTAGAAATATTTTTTAAATAATTATCTATGTTTATAGTATCACCTTTAAGTTTTATTAGATCTCCATTAATTTCATTATAAGAGATTTGTTCTACTTTTAGAATTTGCTTATAATAATTTAATAAATAATAAAATGAATTTAACAAATTTTTATTGCTTAAAAATTCTTCATTTTTTTTTTCTGAATACATATTATTGTCATTATTATTTAGAATATCACACATATTTGATTTATTATTTAGAAGAATATTTTCTTTTATATTTTCAGTTTGTGTCTTGTTATTTATAAAATTTTCTCCTTCTATATGCATTTCTTCTTCTTCTTCTTCTTCTTCTATATAGTTGTCATTTTCAATGATATCAAGATATTTATTTATATTTAATTCTTCTGAGTCATTTAATTCTTTATTTAAATTTTCATTTTTTTTAAAATTTTCTAATTTATTTAAAACATTTTTCATTCTTACATTTTGGTTTATCCTTGTACCATTATATTCAAAAAAATTTTTTTTTTTTATTAAGCATTGAAAAAAGGGTATAAAAAATACTTTAAAATATGTTTTTAAATTATTAATATAATTATAATGTAAATTTCCAAAGGTATAATTATTATTAAAATATTCTTCTATATTTTTGCCAATCTTTTCATTTTTAATTTTTAAAAAAAATAATATTTGTTTGTATATTTTTTTTTTTTGTTGTTTTTTTTTTTCTAGAAAATATTCTTCTTCAGAATCATTAATGTTTATATTATTTATACTCATTTTTAATACATAGTGTATCACTTCTTTATTTTCATTATTTCCTATTTGTTCACATTCACTGTTAGATTTTATATTTGTATCTTTCGTATTAGTGCTATGAATATCTTCTATTTCAATATTATTTTTTATTTCAACTTTTTTTTTTGTTTCATTATTATCTTCTATATTATCATTTTTTTCTTTTTCACTTTTTTTTAGGCTTTCATCTGCTTCTGATATTTCGTTTTTATTTATCAAATCTTCTCTCTTTATTATATTTTCTTTTTTTATTTCATTGTAGCTATCAGTTTGGTTATAGTTGTCTATTTTTTCCTCTTCTACATATTTCTTTATATATTCATCTTTTATTTGTTCATTTAACATTTCATTTTTACAGTTTTCATTAATTTCGCACTTTTTTTCGTTTATTGCATATTCTGATTTATAAAAATAAGAGATATAATAATAAAATTTTATAAAAATATAATTTTACTATTTTTTTTTTTTTTTTTAAATTCTTACCGTGTGTATTTTTATATAAAATAAAAAATAAAGTAGTGTTGCTAGGTGATAATGAAAAGAAGTTATATAAATCATTTTTATTCTTCCCCTAATAATGATTTAAAAATATTAAAAATAAGAAATTACTCTTTTTAATATAATTGAAAAAAGAAAAAAAACTATAAAAATTTTAAACTAACACTTTGTATGAAATCGTTAAAAACATCATCACTAATCCTTAATAATGATGTAATTTTTTCCTTTAGAAAGGATTCAAATTCATCATTCATGTTTTTTTCAATATTTAAAAAAATGAAAAAATACTGTTAGGATATATATATATGTTAATGTCTAATATGTTAAATACGTAAGAATTTTTTTTTTTTCTTAAAGAAAAAAACATATAATCTACAATGAAAAGGAAAATATAGCAATATATATTTCTTTTATATTGTGATTCTAATAAACTTTTTTTTTTTTTTTTTAAGTTATATATAAATAAATAGTGATAATTATGTAATTCGACTTTAAGAGTTTTATTGTTCTTATCAAAGTTTTCTTTAAAAATAGAAGGATATCTATATAATATATAAAAAAAAAAAAAAAAAAAAAAAAAAAAAAAAAAAGAGAGAAAAAAAAAAAGATATATATTATGTTTATATAATAAATAAAGAATCGTGTGCAATATATNATACTGTTAGGATATATATATATGTTAATGTCTAATATGTTAAATACGTAAGAATTTTTTTTTTTTCTTAAAGAAAAAAACATATAATCTACAATGAAAAGGAAAATATAGCAATATATATTTCTTTTATATTGTGATTCTAATAAACTTTTTTTTTTTTTTTTTAAGTTATATATAAATAAATAGTGATAATTATGTAATTCGACTTTAAGAGTTTTATTGTTCTTATCAAAGTTTTCTTTAAAAATAGAAGGATATCTATATAATATATAAAAAAAAAAAAAAAAAAAAAAAAAAAAAGAGAGAAAAAAAAAAAGATATATATTATGTTTATATAATAAATAAAGAATCGTGTGCAATATATTTTGTCTAGCTATCTTTATTCTCCTTAATAATAATAGTAGATTATTCTAATTCTTACACATTCTTAATAAAGTTTAACTTAATTATTATTTTATCTATTTATGTTAATTTATTTTATCTTATTTTATATATATATATATATTTTTTTAAATTTTCTAATTATATTCATTTCAGAATTACAATAAATTAGGTATCTATAAGATTTCTCATAGAAATATTTTAGAACTTGTTAAGATTTAAAAAAGTATAATTTTTTGGTTTGCTAATATGAATATTTATAATTATTCTATGATTATATTTTTTCTTATTTAACCTTATAACAATAATTAAACATTTTAATATTTATCTTATGACAATTTTTAAAGTAGCAAATTTTAGAGTTTACATAAAAAAAATGTATCTTCTTAGGTTACTTGAACATATTTTTAAAACTTACATTTGAAAAAATTAGTATAATTTCATTAAAACATAATTAAAAATTACTTAAATAATGCATAAGAAGAAATTGTAACAAATGTTAAAAAAATTAAATAAAATATTTAAAATAAGATATATAATCATAAATAAATAATTTAAAAAGTAACTCCTAGAAAACTTAATAATTTAAAATGAAATATGTTTCAAATAAACAAAATAAAAGTTATAAAATAATGAAAAAGCTAAAAATCACCTGGATAACAAATAAAAAATTAAAAAATACCTTTTCATAAAATGTTATATGTTTAAGAAATATATAAAAATAATAAATTAATAATATTATTAGATAATATAATTAGATTAAAAAAAATAAGAATTTTATGAGGATATAGAAATCAAAAATTTAGAAAATACAAAATGTAATTAAAACTTAAGACAATTAAAAATTAAGGATTTAAAAAAATAGTGATATAAAAAAGTAATAAATAATAATGAGGAAAATAATAAAAAATATAGATTCTATAAAAAAAAAATATAGATTAAGTAATTATATTAAAAAAGAAAACATGTAAGTAATAAAAGAGTTAATGAAGAATATTATAAATAAAATTATAAGAAGATAATTAAAAAAAAATATATAAACGTAAATGGACTTTCATAAGGTTTATAAATAGAAGAAAAAATGTTCCTTCATAATTTATTTTTTTCAACCTACTAATTTATGTAGAATAATAATTAAAAAAATGGATTATACGTATATAAATATGTGTGAAAAGAAAAAATAATATTAATTATTCAAGATAAATTGAAAAAAAGAAAAAAAAAATAATAATATTAAAATAAATTGACTCTACACATAAAATCATATTTCAAAAAAAAAAAAAATTTATAATTTGTAAAATTTAGTTCATAATTTTGTAATTGAAAAAAAATAAGTAAATGAAATAAGCTAAAATAAATATTAAAAAAAAAAAATAAAATAAAATATGAAAAAAAAAAAAAAAAAAAGAAATAGAATAAATTAAAACAAATTAAAAAGTTATATTGAAATATTTTTAATAATTTTATCTAAAATATACAAATTAAAAAGAAAAAAGGATGATTATTAAAAAAAAATTCGTATCATTTAATTAAATAGGAAAAATAAAAAATTAAGAAGCTCAAAGATCTTAACTAATAAAAAAAGAAAAAATAAACTAAATTTATAATTATGTAATATATGAACATAATAAAAAATATTTCCTGAAAAGCATATAAAGTTTAATGATATAAAAAAAAATATAAATATACATATTTATATATTAATTTAATTTATATATATATATATAATATAAATATATAGAGTTTGAAAACCATTTATTAATAATTTTTTTTTTTTTTTTTTCATTATTAAAAAAAAAAAAAAATAATATTAAGAAAAATTTTAATTTTTTACAGATATTAGAAAAAATAGGTTACTTTATAGAATTTTAAGTTTCTAGTATTTCTAAATTATTTTGTATTATTTGTTAAATATCTGAATATTTTTAATATTAACAAAAATAATGCAAAAAGATATATGGGATTCAAGAATTAGTAGCCCTATAACTAGGATAAAGCATCCACATAAACACAATTTATCTTATTATAGTAAATGTATGTTTGGTGGTGTATTGTCATGTGGTTTAACGCATACATTAATTACCCCATTAGACGTAACAAAATGTAGAATACAAAGTTATCCATCAGTATATAGGAATTTGTTTCAAAGTGTAAAAAAAATAGTAAGTGAAGAAAAGGTAAGAAGTTTATCACTAGGTTGGTCCCCAACATTTATTGGATATTCATTACAAGGATTGTGTAAATTTGGTTTTTATGAAGTTTTTAAAGATGTATATTCAAATTATCTAGGAGAAGAAAATGCATATAAATATAAAGGAGTAACTTGGCTTCTTGCATCAGCATCAGCAGAGTTTGTGGCAGATATATTTTTATGTCCCTTTGAAATGATCAAAGTTAAAATGCAAACAAGTAAAGTAAATACATTTCCCACTAAATTATTACCATCAATTAGTTTTATGATAAAAAATAAAAATGAAACAAAGTTTCCATTTGGTAGTGTAACACCTTTGTGGTGTCGTCAAATTCCATATACAATGGCTAAATTTTATTTTTTTGAAAAAATCGTTCAATTAATGTATGACAATGTATTTACACAACCGAAAGACTCTTATTCTAAGTCAACACAGCTAGGTATAACTTTTGCTTCTGGTTATTTATCAGGTATTATATGTGCTTTGGTTTCACATCCAGCAGATAATATGATATCGCAATTGGGAAAGATAGAAAATAAAAGTAAAAGTTTATCAACTATAATAAAAGAAGTTGGAATGTTTAATTTATTTACAAAAGGAATTTGTACAAGAGTTTTAATGATAGGAACATTAACAGGTTTACAATGGTGGATATACGATACATTTAAATCAGTTATGGGATTAGGTACAACAGGAACAGGATCAGCTATTAAAAAATAAATAATTAAGAATTAAGGTTTTCATAAATATAATAAACAATTTAAAATAATTTTTTTAAAGATTCTAAAATATTTATATGAAAAAGAAATATTCTAAATAAATAATTATAAAAAAAAAAAAAAAAAAATACATTTTTAATTTATTAACTTTTTTTTATTTATTATAAAATGAACATTTGAAATATGCAGAAGAACTATTTTCAATAAATGATATATTTATACATACATAAACTCTTTTTTTTAAATTTTTTTTTGCTCATTATTTTGTAAAAAAAAAAAAAAAAAAAAAAAAGAAAAATTACACAAGCAATAAGGAATTAAAATATATCTAAATACACCATACTTAAATGTGTAGTTTCATTCTACTCGTAAAAAAAAAAAAAAAAAAAAAAAAATAATTTACGATTTATATAAATTTTTATTATGAATGTAATAAAAAAATAACTACACATGCATGTGAAGCTAATTATATATACATTATGATATTATTTCATATATTTTAAAATAGATTCTTTTTTTTCTTGTTTTGAGTAGTTTGAATAAACATTCCAGTCTTGAACTTTCATATATTTTAAATTATTACCTAAAAAAAATTATATTAAGAAATTGCATAAACATTACATTTTTTTTTTTTTTTTTTTTTTAGTAATATAATTAACATCTTACAAGCATTTATATGTTCTTCTTTAATTTTGTCTATTATATCTGAGTAACTGTTATCCACATTTAACCATAAAGATAAAGAATTTTCACTTAATAAAAGGGGGCATCTGATTACAAAGTTAAAAAATAAAATTACATATATAATTTAAAAAAATTTTCAATTTAAATTGAAACAATAAATTAAATATGGTTATAAATTTTTATTAGGTAGACACATGCATATATATCCCTTTTAAGAGATATAAAATTTATAAATAACCTTTCATGAATATCTTTTAGGTTTGTATTTTCACTTGATGTTGTAATTACTGTATTTCTGTATTCCTTTTTATCATCATCAGGAACAGTATATAAACCTTAAAAAAAATTAGGTATAATTTTTTAATAAATATGTAACTATATATTTTAAAATTAATTTGTTTTTTCTTTTTTTTTTTTTTTTTGTTTTATTATTATTATCTAACCAGCAAGTATTATATATGATTCATTTTCTTCGCACTCTGTTAAATGAAAAATAAAGAAATATATAATAGAACATTTTTTTTTTTTTAATTCTACAAAAAAAAAAAAAAAAAAAAATAAAATAAAATAAAATAATAATAAACTAATAAAATAAATAAAAATTATTATTTTCCAAGTATAAAGATATAAACGAATGAAAGACAGCATATGTAAATATAAAAATGTGATTAATATTGTTCCATATAAAAAAAGGAATTTTCTTACTTTTTAATTTAAAGGAGTTGCATTTTTTTTTTTTTTTTTCCATTTTAATTATTTAAAAATTAATAAAAAATTTTCAGTATATATTAATTCATTTTATAATATATTTTATTTATTAATTCTTTTTAATATACCTTCATTTGATGATTCTATTTTAATTTTTTTAGTTGAAACTTCTTTTGTTATTTTTTTTCTTTTATGAGAGTTTTGCTCTATTGGTTGACTTTTTTCTTCATTACTATAAATTTCATCATCTTCAACTTCATTTTTAACATTTTGGGGTTGATTAATTTCTTCATTATTCTTACTATCTATTTCTTCATTATCTATTTTTTTTAAGGAATTCTGTTCATTATCTTTTTGGTTACTTTTACCATTGAATATATAATAAGGAATTTTTTTTGAAGAATTCTCATCATTTTTCCATTCGAAATATCCATTAATTATGATTGCACATCTATTTTTATTTATTAAAATTCTAAAGAAAGAAAGTAAAAATACAGTTAATTTAAATTTCATCTTAATAAGTATATTAATGAATGAAAACTTTATAAATCATTTAATAGGGTAAATATATAATTGCTATATAAAAAAATGAAGAAAAAAATTAAATTATGTATATTTCTATTATACAAGGGAAATAATTATAGAATTAATAAAAATAAAAAAAAAGTATAATATAAAAGAAATTAAAAATTTTTAATAGAAAAATATGCATAAAAATGAATATAAATAAAAATAAACATTTAAATTTTTTTTTTTATTAAAATCTTATATAACTTAAAGGATTTTTTTAGATGTAAAGTTTCTAGTCTAGCATTAATTAATGCAATATCTTTTTCAAATTTTCCATAATTAAATGGATTTATTCCCCATATACAAATGTGAATTATCCTATTTTTTTTTTGTGAATCATAAATTTTTTCTAAAGAATTTTCATTGTTTTCAAATATTGTAGGTATATAGTTTTTCCTAAAAAGTATAATGAAATAAATATCGTTTATTTTAAAGTTCATTATATTTAATTAGGATCGTAACTTGATTAAATAACTTAGAACACAATTAAATAATTTTTATTTCTTACTTATTGATCATTCCTTTCTTTAACTTTTCATTATTAACTACTTTACTACAGTTGTATTTTCTTTTTAAAACGTTTAAATCAATAGTATAATGTATTCGTACGCACATTTTATTTTATATTTTTCTTTTTAAATTGGTAAAAAGATTAACAAAAAATCTTAAAAAAAATATAAAAAATATAAGATAATTAAAAAAAAAAGAAAATATTAACAAAAAAAATCAAGAATATTTTTAAATATGATATACTAATAGCAATCATTAAGAAATAAATATAAAACATAAATTTACATTACAAGTGAATAGAATAAAAAAAAAATATATATATATAATTTTTGGTGAAATTCAATAAAATATAGGTATATTTTTTGAAAATATGTAAAATTTAATAAACGAAATATTTTTTTTTTTGTAAAAACGGATACTATATAAAATTTTTTCTTAAACTTTTTCTGATTTTTATAAATTTTTACGCTACATTAATATTAAAAAAAAAAAAGAAAAAAAATATACATATGTATATATATGAAATCGTATTAATCTTATTTATTCTTTTTAGGATGGTAAATTTTTATTTTTATGTTGAATTGCAATTTACAACAAATATATTTTTTCTTATTTAAATTTAAATAAAGGAAAAAAATTTAACTATGTACAATTAGTTTTAAGAAATATTCGAGATATATATACTTTTTATTATTTCAGAGTAAAAAAAAAATAAAATAAAATTAAAAAGATGTTATTTTTAAACACTTAAGTGTTAAAAAATAGTTGATAAGAAAATATAGAAAAAAAAAAAAAAAAAAAATTAATAATTAAATGTATATGGATCATAATAATTTGAGGGTATGAAGATGAACATATTAGAAGATGGTTTTATTACATATTATCAAAAATATTAATAATTTAAATTTGTACAATTTTAGTGGAAATTTAATATTCACAAATAATCTTAAAAATGCAAATATTTTAAAGAAATATTTAGAAAGATATGATTATACTACTTTAAAATTTACTAATTTTCACTTCAATGATTATAGAAATTATAGTAATGTTTTCAGTCGTATTAATTATGGAAACAAAGTTAATAATAACATATATAAAAAAAAAAATATAAATATAAAAGAAACTTTTAAAAATATTTATAATGATAAATATTATAATAAATTATCACAAGATGATATATTAGAAAATAATAGGAATGATAAAGATATTTATAACGATGATGAAATAAATAATAAAAATCATTTTAATAATGAATATAAGAAAGATGAAAATTATGAGAATGAATCTGGAGGCATTAATTATATAGATGATAACATATATAGCATAAATAACAAAATATTAAATAGGCATGAAAAAATAGATATAAATTTATTAAGTATTGATGATGAAATCGTTAATAATTTAAAATTTATTTTAAAAATAGATAAACTATATATGTATCAATATATAATTTATAATGAAATTTTAAAAAATTCAAAACATCTATTAGTTTTTAATAAAACGGGAACTGGTAAAACGTTAAGTTACTTACTACCATTAATACAAAACTTAATAAATGAAAAATTTGATTGTAATAAAAAGATTTTAATATTAACACAAAATATTTATTTATGCAAGCAATTATATATTTATATTTTATCAATATATCCTAATTTAAATGTATGCATTTTATTTGATGAAAATGATGCTCATAGTAAAATTAAAAAAGGTAAGTATGACATACTTGATAAAGAATTTTCAATGAATAAAAATGATGAGGATTTATATAAAGAGAATTACGGAATACATTTTTATTTATCTACTCCTAATAAACTGGAATTTTATATAAAAAATTACAAAAACAAAAAAAAAAATGAAAAAAATGTTATGAATAATATTTTAAATTGTATAAATACAATTGTTATTGATGAGTTTGATTACATAATTGAAAATAGGACATTTATCTTTAATTTTTTATTTAAACAAAATTTAGTGAGTGATTTAGATACTAAAATAAAAAACAAAAATAATTATGATTATGGAAATTTTAATTATATGGAATACAATATTTATTTATTTACAGCAAACATAAATGATTTAATAAAAAAAAAAGTCAGCGAATACTTGAATGGTTTTATATTTTTTGATTTCGTTAGTGGTATTAAAGAAAAAATTCAAAATAAAATAGATGAGGAAAAATCAAAAGCTTTTAAAAATTCAGATAATTTAATTCAAATACTAAGTAAAGAAAATAAAAATTTTAGCCTCTGCAATTTAAATATTTCTCATTTTATATGTAAAATAAATACTCCTTCTAAATACAAATATGTGTCATATTTTTTAAATGAGTTTTTTTTTTTGAAGAATAAAAATTTATTAAATACAAAGGTTCAAAATGCTTCAAAAGAAGACTGTGAATTAAATATTAACAAAGAACAAAACTTTAATAGTAGTGATTTAATTATTGATCACATGAGTAATAATAATTGTAAACATTTTGATAATGAAAATAAAATCAATAAGTGTATAATTTTTGCAAATTCAAAAGATGAAGTAATAAAAAAAAAAAATAATAAAATAAAACAAAACAAATATTGACATTGTAAAATATATTACGTCTTGTTAAATATAATAATATTGGATATTAAATAATATTACAAAGAATATTTCATTTTACCTTCTGCATAATTTTTAAGATATATGCTATTTTTATATAATAAATTTATATACTTGTACATATATTTTTTTTAATGATTAAATTTTAAACTTTTTATTTTTTTTTTTATTTTATAAAGGTGGAAAAGCTATATGAAAATTCCTTTCTTAAGCCTCATTCAGTAATGTTGCATTCAGAATTATTAACGGTACAGAAAGATGAAAATATAAATTTATTTAAACTGGGAAAAAAGAACATCCTCATCACTACAGATATAGTAAGTAGAGGACTGGATATTGAAAATGTTACTTTTATTCTAAATTATTCACCTCCTACATCTCCTAATGATTATATTCACAGGTATATATATTTTTTTTAAGTTTTATAAAAATTATAAAATTTATATTTTTTTTTCATTTTTAAATATATATTGTTAAATTCTGCACAGATCAGGAAGAACAGGAAGAGCTAAAGAAAGAGGAACTTGCTTAACTATTTATCATAAATATGAATATAAAAATTTAGAGAAAATTATAAAGTATACAAAAAATAAATTTCAGGTTATATTATGTCCACATGTAGATGAAGTATATAAATTTTCAGTAGACAAATTAACAGGTTTAAAATTAAAAAAAATAAATTTAGAAATAGATGAAAAAAAAAAATAAAATAGTTAATATATACAAAAATAATGATATTAATAAGTATTAATAATGAAAGTTAAAAAAAAAAAAATAAATAAGTTTTAATAAGTTGAAGAGCATTAGAAGCCATATATTATTTAAACTTCATTTTTTCTATTCCTTTTTTTTAGAAACAATAATGAAAGTGTCACCGGAAAAATATGAATTTTTTAATGAAAAATCAAAAGAATTATTTAAAAAACATAATACAAAAATTATTGCTCAAATTCTAACTATTTTATTAAAATTAGATAAAAAAAATAGCGAATTTTCTATATTATCAGGAAAGAAAAATTACGTTGCTGTTTTCGTGAAGGATCCATTTTTTGAAGTAAAACTGCAAATTCTATAAAATTATAAAATAAAAATTTGCTAATATATATTTCTTTTAAATATGCATAATATATAATAATTAAAATAATTTTTATATTATATATTTTTAAATAGGTTATAAAAAATAAGGATGATATTATGAATTTAATAAAAGTTACAACGGGAGATAAAAATATATCAAATGTAAGAATACTTTAATTAAAAAAAAAAAATTTTTTAAGATTATTTTTTTTTTTTTTTATGTTTATCATATTTTTAGATTATTGGTGACATAGCGAAATGTGATGAAGGCTATATTGTAGATATCTCAAGTTCACATGTGAATAAAATCATAAATTTATTTAATAGTTCTAATTATGAGTATAAGAGAAAAGGAGTAGAAATAAACACTATAATAGAATTACCTCCAATTGTCAAGGAAAAAAAGAATATATTAAGAAAAAAAAGAAAAATACCTTGGATAAAATAGTAATAAATTTATATATATAAATATATTGTATAATTATATACTTTCTTATTTAAATATTTACATACTGTTATATATATATTTTTATATTAATTTAATGCTGTTGATTTTTTATTTTTTTTATCAACAACTTTTAAAAAATACAAATTATTTCCATGTGTATATTAATGTTTATATTCAATAATTTCATTACTATATAAAAGATATTTTTAAAAATATTCTTACCATTTATGTATATATTTATAATTTTTCAAATGTGAAAACACATTATTTTTAATGTGTATATTCTTTTATAAATAAAGAATTAATGATCAAATTAATATTTATATATTTATTATATATGTTTTTTACATTTTGTTAAAATTTGTATATCATTTACTCATTTTTTTTCTCATTTTTATTTAATTTTTTTTTTATAGTAAATTACAAAAAAAAAAAATTATAGTTTTGGGTAGAAAAACAGAAAAATATAAAAGAAAGCAAAATTATGAAATAATAAAAGACATAAATAAACACATTTAACAATTTTAAGCTTTATCTTTTATTTTATTGGTTATTAGAAATATACTTAAATATGAATAATTTTTTTTATTTTTATAACTTATATTCACAAAAAATTTTTGTACTATTTTTTTTTTTTTTGTAAAAAAATATTAATATAATATTTATATTTTATAAAATTTTCAATAATTCGCTAAGTATATAATTTTTAATTATTTATAATATAATCTTATAAAAGTATTTTTTTATTGTTTAAAATTTTTTTTTTAATATTTTTATTTAATTATAAATTAGTTTTTGATCATAATTTATTTTATAATTTTTTTTTTTTTTTTAAATCCAGAAATTAAATTTTTTTTTTTTTTATCAGACTTTTACATTTTAATTGTACATGTGCATAAATGTATATTTTTTTGTCAATTTACATTTTTATTAAAAAATTTCTTATTGTAAATTTTGTTTTATATTTTCAATTTAAATTATATATATATATATAAATATTTCTTTTTTTTTTTTTTTTTTTGTATGTTAACATTTTTATCGACATTGTACTTGTCACGCTTTATTTTTCTAAATGTATAACATAAAATTTATAAAAAATATTTCTAAAAAAAGAAATTTTATTTATGACTTATTTTAAAAGTTTAACCATGAAAAAAACAGTTTAAAAACAATTATAGAATTGTTGGATACTTTAATACATAAGCAACATTCTATAAAGAAAAAAAAAAAAAAAAAGATTAAATGTTACAAATATAACTACATTAAAAAAAATAAAACAAAAAACACTAAAAAGATTTAACTTCGTTGAAATAGAAAAAAAAAATGCTTTCATCGTCTGATTTATCCAGCACTGTAATTAACATAAAAAAATGTGTAGATTTTTTTTATTCATATGTATACATATAGCTATCTCAATTCTAATTTTTATTAAGCATATATATGTATATACAAGTATAAATCTTTATTTTAGGAATATATATATATATATGTATTCATCTTATACTTTCTTTATTTAAGAAAATTATAGGAAGAATTTTAATATTGCATTAAATATATTTATGTTTTAATTGTTCCTATAAAAAAAAAGAAAATTATTATAAAGATATAATTTTTTTTTTTTTAAAATTTTAAGACATATTTAATTATATAATTTTTTTGTTATCGTTTTTTGTAGAAAAAAGATGAATATTTAAAAAACTCAAATAAAAAAATAGAAAATAGTAATTCTACAAAACATGTAAAAAAAAATTGTAATAATATTTCTAAAGTTAATAAAGGGTTAAATCAGAATAACAAAGTAAAAAATGAGAAAAATAATAAAAAAAAAAAAATAAAAAAAGGCAATAGCTCAAGCAAAACGACGGTAAAAGAAATGATAGATGAGGATGAAGAAGAAGAAGATAAAGACAATATTTGTGCTGATGCCAGAAAATATTTTAAAGAAGGACAAAAAATTATAACACCTCCAAATGGTGATGGAACAAGAGCATTCTATGAAAGTTTATTTGAAGAAAATCCAAATTCAGTTATTGCAATTAAATATTGTATAGAACATGGTGTTTTAAGTGGAACTAAACATCATGAAGCATTATATAAATACTTTATCCTAAAAAAGAATAACGCATTTAAAAGTAACTTTGGAGGCATAAAATCTGAATTCCTTAAATTGTTAGAAGATTCCTGTAAAAATGAAAAATGTTCTTACGAAGAACTAATAAAAAAGGAAATTCTTAGTAAATAAAGAAAATGAAAAAAAGATAGTAATTAAATAAAAAAAAAAAAAAGGAAAAGGATAGCAATTTTTAAAATATTGGAAAATAATTTAAAGACATGTGATTAGTTTATTAATAATATAAAAATATAAGTTACTTTCATAAATATTTTTAAAAAAAATTTAAATTTAAAAATTCCATTTTTATTTTTCTAATTTTTTTTTATTATAACATTTTTGGATTTAAATAATTATTAAAAAATTAAAAATACTCCGTATTATAAAAAAAGAAAAAAAAAAAAAAGGATAAAAAAACAAAAAGAAAGATGTAAATATAGAAAAAACAATAAAAATCAACATAATTTTTTTCATTTTTTATTTTTATCCTTTCTTTTTTTTTTTTTTTTTTTTTACATGAATAATGTTTTGTTATTTTATATATATATATATGAGTAAAATTTTCTTTTTATTTCATAAATTTATAAAAGAAAAATTTTTTAAATTTGTTGTAACTGTTTACGCTTGTTATATTTTCACTTCATATATATATTTGATTTCTTTTCTTTTTTTCTAAGCATATGCTTATTTTAAATAATTATTATATACATTTTTAAAAACATTTTACATATTAAGAAAAATGAAATTGATAAATTTTTAAAAGAATTTTTTATTGAACTAATAAAAAAGTTTTAGTTTATATTTTTGAAATTTTGCACAAGACCTAGTTAAAATTATTTGGAAATTTATTAAAAATTAAAAATATTTTTTTTTTAAATAAATTTGATAATATAGAATTTTTTTTTGTTTTTTAAATTTAAATATTTTTGATACTGTTTTCATTTGTTTAATGCAATATTAAAAAAAAATAAGTATTTTTAAAATAATTGAAAAAAAAAAATATACAAAATTATGTTTGAATTTTACTAACGTTATTAAAAAGTACAAATGATTTTATAAAAAGTATTATATTTTAATAATAATTTTATATTAATTAAAATATATGAAAATAATTTTATGAAAATTTTTTTCAAATTTTTCATATTCGTAAAATACATACTTTTTAAGTAGATATGAATTTAAAGCACTAAGAAAAACATAGTTAATATAGAAAATGATATTTTATTTAAGCATTTAAAATTTTTAGAAACTAAATAATTTGAATATATATGATATAAATAACAAAAATGATATAAAATTTCTTAGAAATTTATAATGGACAAGAAAAGAAGTTTAGTTAAAAAGCCAGATAGAGGAAGTTTTTTATTAGATCACAATAATGAATGCACATCAATTAAAAATAAATATTTAAAATGTTTAAAAGAAAATTATAATGATCACGTTAGTTGTAGAGAGTATTCTAAACAGTATTTCACATGTAGAATGGATAATAATTTATTAGAAAAGCAAAGTTTAAATAATTTAGGTTTTTCTGAAAATGAAGTAAATCATGAAAGTAGAATAAAAAACTTCAAAGATGTATATAGTTACAATACATACAATGAAAAAATGGAAGAATTGTCAATGAACAAATTAAATAACAAAAATAATACACCCATTATAGAAACATTTCCATCTAAAGAAGTTAAACAAAATAACAACAAAAACTCAGTGGATACAAAAAAGGTAAAAAAAAAAGAGTTTCTGCTTTTAAATATAAATAATAAAAATGAGAGAGAGAAAAATTTAAATTCAGAAAGTGCTGAAAAAATTGAAGAAAAAAAAATAACGATAAAAAGAAAAGAAGCAGATGGTTATTTAGCAGGTAAAGAGTATATAAAAGCACTATCAAAAAAAAAAAAAAAATCTTTTTTTTTAAATAACATATTTAAAAATAATAATACCTAAAGCATTTAAATAAAAAACAAAAAAAAAAAAAAAAAAGTGAAAAATAATTTTTTTTTATAGTTTTCTATAATTTATTAAATTAAGTCGTAAAATAGTATACTTGCCCATTTATTATGCTTGAATTGACGAAACAAATTATCGTAACAACCGAAATTTTTAATTTTCCCTTATAAGCTTATTTAAATATTTAAGATTTAATAGAAGACAATTAAAAATAAAATTTATATAGATATATATTTTAAAAAAATTCATTATTTTATATTGTATTATTATTTATTTTTTTTTTTTATTATTGTATATTTTTGTGAACATGTATCACAAATTAATTTTATAATCGAAAAATATGAAAAAAGTAATTGTACTGATAAATATTGATAAGAAAAAGAGATAAAACAATTGTTAAAAGAAAAATAAATAATAATAAATAATAATAAATAATCTTATTTTTAATTTCTTTATATTAATAGGAAATGAATGGGAATAAAATAATTTTTTTTTTAAAGTAGGATTTTGTAAAAAAAAATTTTAATTGAACTAACGTATTTAATATATGAAGAATACAATTTATAAAATTATAATATTTAGCCTATATTTTTCTTAGAAAAAGGTTAGAATTTTCTTTTTTTTAACTAGAATATACAATAAAATGCAAAATTGTTAATTTCTTATTACTAGAAAATGGATGCATATAGTACATAAAAATTATAGAATATTTTTGTTTTATTTTACAAAATTATCTTTTATAAACTGAATAAATACAAAAGAATCTTTAAATGTAGACAAATATCCAAATGAAATTCTGATTGCACCGAAAGGTTTATTATCACTGGAACCGTTTTCAGTACAACTGTTTTTATCTTTGTATGATTCGATTATTTCTTCATTATTCAAATTTAAATAATCTTGACATGCACCGGAGTTGCAAAAGCACCCACCACGCAAATGGATATTATTAAATGCAGCAATAGATTCAACTAGAGAAAAAGGTATATATTTATTGTTAATATCAAATAAATTAAACGCAATAATACCATCTAATGGAGAATCATAAGCATGATAAACTTTAGCAACTTTTGTAAAATTCGAGTGTCTAATATTTATCAGTTCATAAAATGTAAATTCTGATAAGGCTTTAATATGATTGGTAATAATATCATATGATATTTTTGATAGTATATCAAACCCAAATAATAATGCGTTAATACCTAAAAATGGGAGTGTTCCATCTTCATAATGTGAAAAACTATTTTTATCTTGCCTTTTGCATATTCGTGAATCACATACAGCTGTTACAACGCTACCTCCACCAAAGTAAATTTTTTTAAAAACTCTTGAACTACTATTTTTAACAATTAAAGCCCCAATACCTGTAGGATAACCAAACATTTTATAAAAAGAGACAACTGCAAAATCTAAATAGATATATTTTGACAGATCAAATTTATGAGATGGCACATATGCTGCTACATCAGCTAGCACGTACCAATGACATTTATCACTCAAACCATATTTTTTTATATCTTCTATCCATTCAAGTGGGTATAAAACACCAGCAAAATTATCTTTTGCTGGAAATGCAAATAAACAATTTATTGGATTATTTACGTCATTTTTTTTTTGTGATTTTTTTCTATCATATAATATTTTGGAAATTTCATTTTCATTTAATGCTTTAAAATATCCTCCTATCTCAGCTATATATTCTCGAATACCTAAAACAGAATTATGATTGATTCTTAAATAATAATATAAACTTTCTTTTTCCCAAGAAAAATATTCTCCAATCATTTTTAATGCCCCTGTCGCACCTGATAGTTTATATATATTAAATTTATTATATTTTTATAAGTATATTAAGTGGAATTAATTTCTTAACTTGAAAAATTTTAAGATAATACACTTAAACCATATATATAAATCAACTTTTATTTCATACATATATATATATAAATTCACTTACAACATTTATATATATAAATAAGTATATTATATAAACGTGTATCAAAAATAAACACTGAAAGTTATACCACTAGTAAAAATTACAGAGTATTCATTACTATTTGTATTAAAAAATTTTAATACAGCGTTCCTTGAGGTTACTAGTTTTTCATCTAAAAAATAGGAGCAATAATTAAATAATAAATATATATAAATTATATAATATATAAGATAGGGAAAATTATTTGTTCCATAAAAAAAAGTATTTCATCTACTTTTAAAACATTAATATTTTTTATATAGATATATGTATATATAATTTTATGTTTTTAAAGATTATTGTAGACCTGTTAACATGGCAGAAGGGCTATTACTATGTGAGTTTCCATATCTATTTACTTTAATGTCTTCATAAAAATCATTCAATTGTTTTTCTTGATATAAACCACTTCCTTATATATGAATAAAAAAAAATTTTGAAAATAATTATATTCATAATTTAAATAATTTAAAGTAAATTTATTATTTTAAAACCAGTATAGTCTAAATATATGTGGTTCTTAAAACGGAAAACTTGCGTAAGATTTAATTCTTCACTGTCTAAATAATAACTATCATAATATTTTTTTAAAAATTCAATTTTTTTTTGTAAATATAAGATATATACATTTTTGTCTTTAAGATGACCGTTTATTTGAAAAATCGAAATTAAAAGAATTGAAGAGTAGATAAATAATATTCTTATGTACATTTTTAAATTAATATTATTTTATATTAATTTTTTATTGAATAGTTGCTTTTAAAATGATAAATAATATTTGTAAGAATTTAAGTGTTCTAGAATTATATTTCAATTGGTTTTAATTTTTAATCTTTGAAACCTTTAAATAACATAAAAAAATATGGCTTTTCCAAAAATATTCGTTAAAATATTTTCTTTAAATTAACACAAATATATGAAAAAGATAAATAAATGAAGATGAATATTTTTCTATCAATTTTATGTATTATTTTAATATTCTTTTCTTTTATATATTAATATTTTTACATTAATATCACGAATAATGCATCTTCAGATTCTTATGTGATAAGAATATTCTTTTTTGTTTATATATATATATATATATACAAATAAAATATGAGTTGTTTATACTGAATATTTTTTAAAAGGGAATTATTTTTTCTTCATTTATTTTTTTATTAAGTATACATAAAAATTTTTATGAATAACTTTATTTTTTTTAAGTTTCATTGAATATGATATTTCATTTTTTATGGACTTATGCACCCCAAGAAAGCATTTTTATTTCTATAATTTTACATTTTATTTTTTTTTTTACTTAATATATATTGATATATGGTGTAAATACAAGGAAAGTGTAATACAGACAAAATAAAAATACAAAATACTCTCTTTTTCCATTTAAAATTTTTTAAATTATGCATTTTTAAATTATGTATTGTATATCTTAAAATATTATAAAAGCAAAAAGAGAAAAATAAATACATCTTTTTTTTATTTGCAGACAAATTACGTGAGAAGTAAAATAAAAATATATTTTTTAAAAATATATAGTATTAATTAATAATCATTTTTTTTAATATTATATTCATCAAATTTCGTTCTTAAATTTAAAACATATAGACAAGGAAAAAAAAAAAAAAAAAAAAAAAAAAAAATAGTCTTTTTATTAATAATGGAATAATAAAATATATATAGCTAGAAAAAAAGAAAAAGTGAAGTTTACCAAAAAGAATTTAGCAATGTTTCTCAATGATATAGAAATATGATTTTTGGGAAAATATCAAAAATTTTAGTTAATGTTATTTTATTTAAATGAATTAATTTGCTTCCTTATTTTTTCTTCTAATCAAAGAATATTGACGGATACATTTAAAAGCTATTAATTAAATATTTTTGCATAATACAAATGAACAAATTTTAAAAAATTTATTGATAAAATTTTTTGTGTTCCTTTAAAATAATTTATGTCTAATATAAAAATACAAATAAATAAATTAGATTAATTCTACAAAATATGTTTGAGATGTTTCATAATTTATGAAAAAAAAAAAATAATTAAAACTGTGGTATGGCTAATATTTAAATTGAAAAAAAAAAAAAAAAAAAAAAAAAAAAATTATTTACTTAAATAGATATTTTATGGATTTAATGCGTAATTTCATTGTTTTCACAATTTTTTTTTATTTTTTTTTATTCAAATGGTTGAAAAAAAAAAAAAATTAAAAAAAATATATAGAAAAACATTTACAAGGAAAAATAATTTTGTACTCAGATTTTTATAGTTAATTTGTATTAAATTTTGAAAAATTATTTTGTTTATTTTTATTCATCGATAAATATTAACCTTATTTTATTTTTCATTTTTAATATAAAATATAGCTTTTTTTATTTATTTTTTTCTTTCATTTAAAGCAGATAAGCTCGGACATTATTGAGAAGCTTTCTTAGATTTTTTTTTAAAATTTATTTTACAATTCTGGAAGTACATTTTTTAAATAAAATTTTCTCCTTATAAATATTTATAAGAACCAGAAGAAATTAAAAAGCATTAATTTCTTTTTTTTTCACTTAAAAAAAATAATGGAAACGAATTGTATCCAGGATGAGGATTTATATACAATTTCAAAGAAAAAAGCCATGATATTTTTTATAATATCATTATTTTTAGCTTTTTTTAAAGTAGTATTGTTTATATTTGATACTTTAGCATTTTGTATTTTAATTATTTTTATTTTACTTTCCATGTTTCTTGGATATTCAGGCTTAATTTCAAGGAACCCATCTTTGGTGTGTGCTAAAGCATACGTAGGCGTAGTTTTCTTTTGTATTATGCTGGACTTTTTAATTTCTTTTCTTTGTTGCTGTTATATATATAGGTTAGCAGTTGGAGATTATGATTATATGCATATAACAAAAGTGGACTATATTTATTCTTATTTTATTTTTATTTCAGTTGTTGTGTTTTGTTTGCTTTCAACAATAATTAACATTTTTTCAATATATTATACCAGAAAGTTTAAAAAATTAATTATACCATTTCAAATGAGAAATGAAAAAAAAGACGTTTGTCTTGTCTAATATAGTACATTTTTTCAAATAAATTGAATAATACTGTATTCAGAAATATAATGGGGAGTTATTTTGAAAAAAAAAAATATAAAAGAAAAAGAAGAAAAACATGAAGATAAAGAAAAATAGAAAAAAAAAAAAAAAGTATATTTGTGGATATCATATAATGAGATGATGAAAATTTTAATGAAAAAAAATGTGTCTCTTAATTGAATTATGAAATAAGAACCCAAGTGTAAAAGAAATGACATCAAAAAAATATTATTTTATATTAAAAGAGCTCTTTTAATAATTAAATAATTAATTTTTATTTGTAAATATTCAATGACTTATTTTGAAAAAAAAATACTATAAATAAAAAATAAATTCAAGAATTTATCAGTTCATGACAGGTAGTACAAAATTTTTAGAGTAATTAAAAAAAAAGCATATATTTTAATGAAAGAATAATATCTATTAATAGAATAATGAGATTAACTAATTTTAATTATCTAAGATTTTTAATTGACATTTTCAATTTTAACTTTTTTGATGTATTTTTTTTTTATTTTTGGAAATTAAACCTCAAACTTTTAAAAAAAATTAACCATTTTTTTATATAAACGTTAAGATATTAATACGTTATTAGTAATGTTTTATATTAAGAATTTTTTTTTTGTATATTAATACGTAAATGTTGCATTTCTCCGATGAAAATTTTATTTATAAAATGTAATTTACATTATTTTGAAGTTCTTTTATGTATTGTGAATACATATGATTTTTACTAAAAATATTTATTTTTTTAATTACAAAAAAAAAAAAAAAAATAAATTACATTTAAATGACTCACTTTAAAGAAAGGAGGATTTATAGTTTTATTAAAACACATAAATGTTATATATAAATTTTTTAATTTAAAAGTAGAAAACTATGAAAAATGTATTTTATTATTTTTATATTGAGAAACGAAAGCTAATGAATTAAAATGTCATAGTGAAATTTCAATTTAAAGACAGATGTGAAATGAAAAAATAAAATAAAATAATAATTTATTACTTTTCATATATAAGAAATTTATTATAAGACAATTGTTTTTATATACCGATTTGTGTTATTTTATATATTTCATTTTATTCTATTTCAGTTTTTATTTTTTATTTTTTATTTTTATATTCATTTTTAATTTTATTTTATTTTATTTTTTTTTTTTTTTTTTGCTTTAATCAAATTAAAAAATTAAAATTTTTTTTTGTAATAAATTATTAATTCCTAAATTATTTGTTTTTGTTTAAAATTTAATGTTAAAAAAATATTATTAGTAATATTTTATTATAATAAATTAATTTTGAAGAAAATTAATATTTGTTCTTCTTATTAAATCTTGTAAGTCATTTAAAGGAAACAAAAGAAAGCATCTTTTAAATACGAAATTTGTTTTTGTTAAACTTTTTTATTCCTTTAAATTTTTTTTTTTTCTTTTTTTTT